AAGGTGCATATTACCTGAAGAGTCCATAATGGTACCTCAGAGGTACTTTTTACTTTCATTTGGGTTCACGAATATGCACCTTTTAGGTAGCATTGTGGACTATTTGGGTACAAATATGTATCTTTTAAAAAGGTACTGCCCCAGTGACAGACCCTGTACCTTTATTTCTCAGAGTGTAGAAAACTATGGTTTAAATAGTAATGCAAACAAACATAGCAAACAGCTGCTTTAAATATTAATATTTCACAATTTGAGTTGTGAATTTAAAACATTTAAAATGTTTTATATATATAAATTAAACATTAAAAAATAAATAAATAAATAAATAAATAAATATATATATATATATATATATATATATATAAAGAAATTACACTTCAGGCATGTGTTTTTTTTCTGGCATTTACCTTTTTTGGTCATCCGCAAACGGAAGTACATTATAATTATCTAGTTGTGTAGAAAACTATGGTTTAAATAGTAATGCAAACAAACATAGCAAACAGCTGCTTTAAATATTAATATTTCACAATTTGGGTTGTGAATTTAAACATTTAAAATGTTTTTTTTTATATATTTAACATTTAAAAATATATTTAAAATATGTATTTTTCATAGAAAATGTGTTATTTTTTTCTGCCATTTGCCTTTTTTTTTTTTTTTTGGTAATCCGCAAAAGAAAGTACTTTATAATAATTAAATGGGTTTTCTGTTCCTTTTTTGTTCAAAAAGGCTTCAATTATATATACAGTGCTCAGCATATATGAGTACACCCCTCACAAATCTCTCTTTTAAATTCATATTTTAATAGGAAGCTCTACAATATTATATTTGTGCATGTACATTAGATTAGTCAGTACTGAAGCCAAATCTGGAGCTTATCTGACAAATCACTTACGATAACGCTTCAAAAACCAAAAACTAGTACCGCCAAATTTATATGTTAGAGAAAAATATGAAATACAAATTTTAAAAAGAGGAAAAATCAAGAGAAGAGAAAATTTTGGTGATACTTGGTAGATTGTAATTTATTTTTGCAATATTCTGCTTGAATTTAATTATATTATCTTCAATTTCTACACCTGTTTGGTGATTAAAATGTTATTTTAATAAATATATATGTTTAATAAATACATTTTGTTCAAATGCACCAAAATACACGGCCTATATTCACTGAGAAATGGAGGAAAATATTCATTTTCAAAATGGGCTGTACTCAATTATGCTGAGCACTGTAACTGCAATGCAATATTAATCATACCCTTGATTATATTTTTAAATACTGAAAAAAAATCCATTCTGCTTTAAATGTTGCATCATATGGACTAAATACAATACTTTCACGCATATCAATAATATGATATCATGCATACTGTATGACCATAAGAAGCAAACATGCAAACAACACAACATACACCGCTTTTACATTGCATTTTAGAAAAATGATTCACCAGAAGCTCCTCCAATTATTTAATTATATGCAACAAAATTATGAAACATAAATAGCTATGGTTATTTGAGAGATTCACTAATAATTATATACTAAAATATAACAATAATAATAATATTTACATGTTGATCTATTATATATCTGTCAGGCCTATGTTTAAATATGCAAATGAGCCATATAAACTATTAATTTTATAATAATAATTATATTCACTAATAATTATATACTAATACATAATTATAATTAATAATAATTTTTACATGTTGATCTATAACATATCTGTCAGGGCTATCTTTAAATATGCAAATGAGCTAAATATACTGTAATACAGCCCAGCCATCTAAAGACTAAAGATAAGACATGATCATAAGTGGATTATTTGTGCTTATAAGTACATTGTATTATTCATTTAGGCTATCAAACCCTCAATGATTAATACAATAACCTATTTTAAGATTATACAAAGCACAAACAATCTCAACCTCTATGTGTGTGTGTGTGTGTCCTACATTCAGAAGTGACACAATATGTGGTGTTCTTGCTGCTCAAGGTGAATGTTTGCATTGTGACCTATTGACGGGTTCATTGACCGAATGTTTGGCTACTTACATCGTGAAAGATGGACAGTCCGTGAACCGAATCCAGCATCTGATGCTGCATTTGATGCTGTTTGGAGCGAAGGTGCTCGCGCTTCGCCGACTGGAGACACATCGTGATCATTTCAGCGCACGCCAACATCTTTAACGAGCTGAAATTCGGGAATTCAGACAGAAGAATGAACAGTGGAGGACACAGATAAATGTGCAGATCCTCGGGATTGGAGCTGGTTTGCGAAAGGCAGTCCGGCGATGGTCTTCTGGGCGAATGATACAGACGATGATGATGCTGAGGAATACTAGTGAACGACAACGAGTCGCACTTTTGATTCAACCGATTCCTTTGAATGACTCGGACGAACCGATTCGAATGTGTCTTATAAACGATAAAGTGCAGTCAATATTTTTAGTGCATGAATATGTACGTTTGAGCTTTTGAACTATTTATGAAGTTGGAAATAAAGCTTATGTCATCAAACTATTTGATTATATTCACTAAGTATATTCACTAATTAGTTGATTAGTGCGTATTGACTGTATTGACTTACTTATTGAGTCTATGTATAACTCGTCATGTCTTTTTTATGTACAGCCCTGGCATTGTACATGAAGTTCATGTATTAATAATTATAAATATTGTCTATATTCTGTTCATTTGGACGTGTTATAAAGCAGGCTAAGTGTTATTTCACACGTATAACTAATAAATAAATATGAATTAATATTATTTTTTAATTAATAAATGAGTAGCATACAAGGAATTTGTTTTCATGACATAGCATAGGTTTCTACAGTGAAAGAGACAGGGACAAACACAGAATAAAAAGGAATAATCATAAAAAAATGTAATAAAATAGGCTATATATAGGCTAGGCTAGTCTATATACAAGGACACTATTGTTTTGGATCGAAACCGTTGTGAGTTGTAAATACTATATACAGTAATGTAGAATGGTTTAAAATAATATAACACTGTATTTAGGCTAATAAAATAACATTCACATTTTTCATGGATGTTTAAGAATTACCTTTATCAATTGGGAATATTACCATTATCATCTGTGCCGTGAGTTTGGTCAGCATTTGGTCAGCCTTACAATTCGAATCCGAATCGAACCGAGTCGCATAGATGAATCAGACTCAGATATAGGAAGTTCTCGCGCTCTGTTTGTCCACCTCCTCGGATGCTGATTGGTCCAGCAGTAGTTCAATGGACAACACTCCTCTGACTCGCCTTTGCTAGAACAAACATCTTTATTTATAATCTATTTATTCATATTCTTTGATTATTGTTTTATTATATTGTAAAATGACAGTGAATTAATGAATGAACTAATAAATGAAAGAATGAATTAATGAATAATATATTCTAATAGGCTATTACCATTGCATAATCTGACATTTATTTTCATGTTATGTAATTTATTGCAACTATCGACACTTTTTCTCACAAGTTTTATGTTTTCTATGTACTACATTTCCACCCTGTATACTCTATATTAAGATGATATATGCTATTTATGACCACATGACTATAGTTTATACTATTTACGACTATAGATGTGACCGATTAACCGTCTAACTAACCAAATTAAAATAAATAAATAAATAAATTTAACTTAGCATACCATATTATTATTATTGGCGACGCAGTGGTGCAGTAGGTTCGAGCCTCGGCTGGGTCAGCTGGCATTTTTGTGTGGAGTTTGCATGTTCTCCCCGCATTCGCGTGGGTTTTCTCCAGGTGCTCCAAAGCAGTCAAAAGACATGCTGTACATGTGAATTGGGTAGGCTAAATTGACCGTAGTGTATCTGTGTAAATGAGTGTGTATGGATGTTTCCCAGTGACCGGTTGCAGCTGGAAGGGCATTCACTGCGTAAAACATATGCTGGAAAAGTTAGCAATTCATTCCACTGTGGCAACCCTGGATTAATAAAGGGACTAAGCCGAAAAGAAAAGAAATAGATGAATAAATGAATAAGCACTTGCACAGATAAATAAATAAATAAATAAATAAATAAATACCTTAACACAGTATATTAATATTATTTAGAAATAATGTCATGGTACTAAAACCATGCACAAATAAATATGCAAAAATGCAGTGACAGCTGAGTTCCTAAGTGTTTAATGTTTTTACAAGGACTTGCATAAATAAATAAATCTGTTAAGATACCGCGGTAAAGTTAGTTTGACATTTGACATTCATAAAACATTCGGTTTCAAACCAAATAAATTCTTTGCTCCTGTTATAGTTTAAGCCAAAATATGTCAGCCAGACATAAATATGTGCCCTTTATGTTGCACAAAGCTTAACTTCTTAATTAAAAATAAATTAATTAACCATACGAATAAATTAAACAATTCAACCATATTAAATTATACTATAAAATAAGGACCAACATGTTCAGAAAAAACAACCTGGTTTATTTAATTTATTTTTTAATAATTTAAAAAATACTTTTAATGTAAAAATGATAAAAGTCAATTAAACTATCACACCTTTTGAGATAATAGAATAAAGTCAACTCAAAAAATGACTAAATATTTTATGGTGCACAACCTTTTTGGTTTTTTTACAGTTTTGCCTTTGTTGATTTTATATACAGTAATGAATCCATATTTTCATTAAGTTAAATACACTGTAAACACTTACATGAATTAAACACTATTTGAGACATGAACATTCAAATAGAAACCACAACTATGCCATGTCTATCAAGATCTTTCAGTGAACACCATGGATGATTGTACTACTTTCCCTGTCAAACAGCGCCATCTCGTGAAAGAACAAGCCTATAAATAATCTTAAGAAATCTATTACTGGCTCACCTTGACGTATAGACACACATATCTAGTCTTTCGCTCTTTATATTAGTAAAATACCGCGCAGTGCACACCTTTGTATAAAGAAGCATTGAATAATCCAGATAGACGCGCGCGTCGTCACGTGACGGGGTCGCGCAGATACGTCACTCCGACATGGAGCCTGTGCTGGTGGCGGACCTTTGGTCACCCGGTTGAGATGGAGCAAAGTTTATTAAAACGGCGAAAAGCTGATCTCAGATTCCGTTAAAACTGACATCTAGAAGCATTCCCTGTGATCATAACACGGTAAGATATTAGTGACACACACCTATAGAGGACAGTATGGCTTTAAACCAGCCGTGTTTTGGTAACGCGTTACCGTTAGCTTGTTTGACCGGTGACTGACTACTGGACTCTAGCAGGTGATGTTTTGACAGCTCGTTACTGTACCTTAACTATAGTCTGAAACGATTTACAACGGCCAGTTTTCATTTTCCATTTGATATATGCATGTAGCTTACGTGTAAACATCCGTCTGTTGTTATGCTGAATTTTGTAGCTGCGACACCGACAGTCAGTAACGTTATGTGACGTCACTGCTCTCAAAAGTACTGTAACTGTATGTGTGTTATAACACAACGATGGTATGTACATAAAACTGACCTGTCGTCTTTATCCAAGGCACTGAATGTATATATCACGACATTTACATAGTAACTGTTATGCCATTATAGTTCCATGCAATTGTGTGCACAATTAATGTCTGTTCATGATATAGGCTACCATCTGATGTCATTTCATGGCGCTTTTTAATGTCTTTATACTTTCCAAATTATAAAAAAGTAAGATACAGCAGGTCAACATGGTTACAGAAAGACATTTCTAAAAAGCAGTTTGAATATGAGTTATTTATTTAATCATGCACTAATTTCTGTACATTTCCACACAGTAATCTTTTATTTATTGGTTTAAATAAAATATTGAAATTTAAAAAGATGAATTTTTAGTACAATGTTTAAAGATAGGGCAGCACGATTGCTCTGAGTTTCCTCCAAGTGCTCCGGTTTTCCCCACAAGTCCAAAGACATGCACTATAGGTGAATTGTGTAGGCTGATTTGTCCATTATCTATGTGTGTTAATGAGTGTGTGTGTGTGTTTTCCAGTAATAGGTTGCAGCTGGAACGCCATCCGCTGCATAAAACATGTGCTGGATAAGTTTATTCCGCTGTGGCGGCCCCAGATTAATAAAGAGACTAAGCCGATAGGAAAATAAATGAATGAATGAATGTTTAAAGATATGTATTGTAGCACATTGGACATTTTAATGCACGTTTAAATGCCTATTTAAGAAACTGGAATGTTTCTGACTTAGTGCATGAAAAGCTCACATCCCCTAAAGAAATGTACTTTAAGATTTTGACGGTAGAATAACCTTGGATAAAAGTATCACAGTATCACGGTATTTGATTACTGCCCTAAAATATATTATTTTTAAATGTCTGGGTAAAAAACTAAAACTTGTTTCCCCTTTGAAAACGATATATTTTATTTTCTGAAAGATTTATAATATTTTGAAGCAGTAAACAAGTCAGGCTAAATAATTAAAAGAAATCATTGACTTCTGCTGTTTTAAAAACACAGATTTCTTTACAATTTAAAACGACATCCTTGGACATTTTTTTTTTTGCTGGAGATAGTGTTGTCCTAAAAAAATGTTAGTAAAAATCCTACACATACCTTATGAACAGTATTACAGAAAATGTTGGCGGTTTTAAAACCTTGACTTTTCCAAACCGCAGTATATTTTGAAAACAGTTATCGTCCCATGCCTACTACAGACACAAATATAAATATATATATATATATATATATATATAAAGTGAACACTTAAAAGTATGTTGTCTCTTTAGTAATCTGAAGCAGTCCAAAAATTGATCAGTATATAAAAATCAAGGATTTGCCTGTAGCGTTCAGTCTTAATATATTCAAAACCCCAATAAACAAGTGTTATTCAACGGTTGCAGATTTGTGAAAATCATTTCCTGACAATTGATGAAGTGCTTAAAAATCGTTATAATTCTTTATGTGGTTAACTAACCTCTCTGACAGATTGCTGATATTAGCCGCCACCCTGATTCACTGGCAGGCAGAATTAAACTTGAAAAAGTTAATGATGCATTAGATGAAACTCAAACCTGTTACCATGAATAATAGTTCATTGGTTGATCAATAAACCCCTCAGAATTGTCAGTGTGGAGCTGAAGAAATTAACCAGGCATTAAGACAATGTTTAAACCTTTTAACAGATAATTACTGACAAAAAAAATCTCATATTTGTTTATTGTTTACATATCAAGTTTTTAAGTATAAGACTTGAATAGTCTGCACTCTGCAGGCTGCTGTATGTTTTCATGCTTTTATGCTCTTATTGGAGTTTGACAACAGCAGCACCTATTAAACTTTCATTGTAGTGCAAAGAATGAGAATTATTTATTCCATTTTTTTCCCACAACAGTTGTTGTTTTTTTGGTGAAGATGTTTCTTACAGAGTTAAGGGCTGTTCATATCAAGCATTGCAGCTATAAAGATAATGACAAATCAAATCAAACAACTTTTATTGTCACATCATCAGCAGCATGTGTACTATGATGAGTGAAAAGCTTAGGTGCTGGCTCTGCGTTTCAAAGATTATTTTTAAAAACATACAATCACCCATCCGCTGCATAAAACATGTGCTGGATAAGTTGGCGGTTCATTCCGCTGTGGCGACCCCAGAATAATAATTGGTCTAAGCCGAAAAAAAAATGAATGAATGAATGAATATACAATCATCGGTCACTATTAGGTACACCTTATTAGTGCCTGGTTGGACCCACTTTTGCCTTCAGAACTGCCTCAATCCTTCGTGGCAGAAATTCAACAAGGTGCTGGAAATATTCCTCAGTAATTTTGCTCCATATTGACATGATAGCATCACACAGTTGCTGCAGATTTGTCGGCTGCACATTCATGATGCCAATCTCCCGTTCCACCACATCCCAAAGGTGCTCTATTAGATTGAGATCTGGTGACTGTGGAGGCCATTTGAGTGCAGTGAACTCATTGTCAGATTCAAGAAACCAGTCTGAGATGATTCACGCTTTATGACATGGTGTGTTATCCTGCTGGAAGTAGCCATCAGAAGATGGAAACACTGTGCTCATAAAGGGATGGACATGGTCAGCAACAATACTCAGGTAGGCTGTGGTGTTCACACGATGCTTAATTGGTACTAATGAGCACAAAGTGTGCCAAGAAAATCTCCCCCACACCATTACCACTACCAGCAGCCTAAACCTCTGATACAAGGCAGGATGGATCCATGCTTTCATGTTGCTGACGCCAAATTCTGACCCGAGCATCTGAATGTGTCAGCAGAAATGGAGACTCATCAGAGCAGGCAACGTTTCTCCAATCTTCTATTGTCCAGTTTTGGTGAGTCTGTGTGAATTGTAGCCTCAGTTTCCTGTTCTTAGCTGACAGGAGCGGCACCCGGTGTGCTCTTCTGCTGCTGTAGCCCATCCGCCTCAAGGTTGGACGTGTTGTGTGTTCAGAGATGCTCTTCTGCAGACCTCGGTTGTAACGAGTGCTTATTTGAGTTACTGTTGCTTTTCTGTCAGCTGGAACCAGTCTGGCCATTCTCTGACCTCTGGCATCAGCAAGGCATTTGTGCCCACAGAACTGCCGCTCACTGGATATTTTATCATTCTCTGACCATTCTAGAGATGGTTGTGCATGAAAATCCCAGTAGATCAGCAGTTTCTGAAATACTCAGAGCAGCCCATCTGGCAAGAACAACCATGCCACACTCAAAGTCACCCAAATCCCCTTTCTTTCTCATTCTGATGCTCAGTTTGAACTGCAGCAGATCGTCTTGACCATGTCGACATGCCTAAATGCATTGAGTTGCTGCCATGTGATTGGCTGATTAGAAATTTGCTTTTACAAGCAGTTGGACAGGTGTACCTAATAAAGTGGCCGGTGAGTGTATATGATGACTTGATATAATGATCTTGAAAACATAAATGAAATACAAAATAATGGAAGCTATACATACTAGGGTAGCTAATTGAAAAATAAAATAGAAGTACCTGAGTTATCAAGTGCTTGTTTGAAAATGCTGCGGAAAATTAATGTGTGTTGTTTTTATTCCACTACACCAACAGCGATCTCTTAATTCTCAGTTTGATTAAATTACACAAGTTGGATTCACTGGTTAGATGCTCTAGAAGTGCAGCACACTGAGGACATTTGCTGGTTACAAGGGGGTAATAGAAAAAATAAAACATAAACTAAAAATGTCCTTAGTGTGAACGACCATGTAGAGACAATTCCCGTTTATTAGGAGGATTTAATGTGATCGGGATAGCAAGCATATCTGGGTTGCATCTGATTTCATGAATTTGTTTGTGAGCGAAAATCAGGGCTAAAATCATAAAGGGTGAACTTGGCACTAAAGAGATAAATCCAAAAAGTTATTTGGTTATCAGCTTTCCGTGTTGACATTTACATCTAGTCCCAATCTTCATTGATTTTAACGTCTGGTTTGTTGACTTTCGAATGTCACTGGTCTCTTTGTAAATGTCGGTGTGTGTGTTTCTCAGCACTTCCTCTCCGTGGAGAGACGGGGAAGTGCAGAGAAACGTCTGCCCTTGAAATTACATCATCTCTAATCTGGCAGGGATTACTGGAGACTTCTGTTGTGAGATTAGCTGTTACCACGGGGAAGGAAGAGTTGAAGACGTGCAGTAGCTTAGACATGCATCCATCACTAAACTGAATACAGAAATGATCAGATGACACGTGTTTATATGTTGAGCTGTAGAATTAAGAGTTTTTTTAAGGGTTTGCCAAAAATAAGTGATACTTTTTGCTTGTAGATGTGCCATGTTATAGAAGTAAAATGTCTTGTTTAATTCTTTCCAACATTTAAAGTTCAAGTCTAAAAGATTAACCCTCCTAATCTTTTTCAAGAGTTCACACTTAGCTGATGATTGATAGTAAAGCTAGTTTGGCGTGCTGTCCCGGGAGAGAGCCCTGAGCTTATAAGATCCTCGAGCCCTGGGCTCCCTCCCGTTGCAAGGCGAGAGGGGAGTTTGAGCTCAGGTAGATCTCGATGACTCCCCCTCTTGCTTGTTGTAGCTAAGTGTCAGATATGGATGCTGAAAGGTGTACTCAGAGTTTAGCTAAAGTATTTGGATTAATTGTTTAGAGTGCTTGTTTTTGAACTGTGGGAGGAAACCGGAGGACCCGGGGAAAACCCACGCGACCACGGGAAGAACGAGCAAACTCCGCACAGAAATGCCGTCTGGTTTGGAAAGGAATTAAACCAGGGGCATTCTTGCTGTGAGGCAACAGCGCTAATCGCTGGCCACCGTGACGCCCGTTTGAAAGGAGGGAAAGTAGGGTTGGGTAGTTGGGTTTCTTCAAGACGAAGATATTGATTTGAGAAAAGTCTGGTTATTTATAGTGAGTTAAGGACAGGGACGGACTGGGACAAAAATTCAGCCCTGGCACTATAGCCACACCAGCCCACATTATCATACGTACTGTTTGTTTGACATTCTTGCCAAATTTTGATTATGTCCGCGTAACCTTTGATTGAGTCGGCCCCTCTCGAAACTGTCACCGATTGGGCCAAATGCTTAACATTTACTATTATTATTACTATTATTACCATCATCAACGTCATCATAATATTCACATGTTGCACGAGATAAAAGCTGCCTGCATGTAAAAACAATACATATAAAAAAATAATAAAAAAAAAAAAAACTGACCGGCCCACATTTAAAAAAATGGTCCGGCCCATCTAGCATTTGACAGAATTGCCAGATGGCCAGTCCGCCCCTGGTTAAGGATCGTCTGATTGGATAATCTGTCATTAGCTAAAGTTGGAACAGCTGTGAACAATCATAAGCACGTGATCCTCTTGAAATTTGTTTATAAATAAACTTCACTTAGAATATTTCTAACAAGTGCAGTTTAATTGTAATATGCTTTTTAAAACTAATTTGTAAACATAATAGTTTCAATAACTAATTTCTAATTTGATTTATTTTATTTTCTTTTATTTATTTCTTTTCTTTTATTTATTTCTTTTATTATTTATTTTCTGATTTGATTTGTCTTTGCCTTGATGACAGTATAATATTTTACTAGTTATTTTGGTTGGGTACTAGTATTTACCTTATAGTGGCATTTTACAAAGGCTTAACTAGGTTAATTAAGCAAGTGAGGGTAATTAGGTAGATCAATGTGCTTAATTGCAGGGCTCAACAATAAGGACTGCCCGATGGCCCGGGGCCAGCATGTCGGTTGCTTAGGACAGTAGACAGGATCATTACTGGCCCGATCGGGCCACTGATGCCCTGTCACTATAAAGTTTATTTTGGCTGGGACTATTTGTCAATTGCGTGCAAAAACTGTCAGAATCGAGAAACAGTTTGTGTTTTTAAGCCTTGAAATGCTACCTTCTCTATTCCTCTTATCTGATTGGATGTTGTGAGCATGTTATTTTTTTCATAACAACCAGTACAGTGAAGAGACAGCAACATGGCGTCAACATCAAGTGATGATGCCACAGGAAAACATTTGTTTCTAACATCTTGGAAGCAGACATTAATGAGGGTAAACCACGACTAAAAAAATCAAGTGATGTTTTGTACAGTTTGCATCTTTTGTTTTGCAATAAAATACCTGCACATTTTGCTACGTTTGTTTGCAAAACCCTTTGAATTTTGCTCATTATACATTTATTAACATTTTTTAAATATTTAAATTCTAGATTTACAAAAATGTATACATTTTTTTGTTTTGATTTGTGGCTAGGCTAAGAAATAGCTTTTTTTTTTTTTTTTGGTGGGGCAGTGAAAATATTGGCAGGACAAGTCAAAATCTGAACCACTGGTCCGATCGGGCCAGTAGAAAAAATCTTTAGCGTTGAACCCTGGATTGACCTTGTAACTTTTGAAAAGAAGGTAAAAGAAATAAGACTTTCTAAAAAGGATGAAAAATATATAGGAAAATTTGTAAAAATCTCTGCTCGGTTAAACATCACATGGACAATATTTGAAAGAATTTCACTAATAAATGGAGCCTTCAACCTTACTTCTTTCTTAGCATAACATTTTTATATAGAAATTAACAATATTATGCTTATCTCTTCATTTTAGATTTGAGCTGCAAATGCTGTTAATGGCCACAAGATGAAGGCTCAACTTCAGATAACAGGTGAGTTTTATTTATTAAACAAAATGACCTGATGACCTCACATATGTTGGCTGTCTTTTTTTTGTGGAATCATTGCAATGCATCGACGTGGTTAGCACTGTGGCCTCACAGCAAGAAGGTTGCTGGTTTCAGTCCTGCCTGGGCCAGTTGCTATTTCTGTGTTGAGTTTGCATGTTCTCCCTGTGTTGGCTCCTCCGGGTGCTCCGGTTTCCCCCCACAGTCCAAACACATGCACTATAGGGACATTGATTAACTAAATTGGCCATATTGTATAAATGTGTGTGTGAGTGTTTATGGGAGTTTCCCAATACTGGGTTGCAGCTGGAAGAACATCCGCTGCATCAAACATATTCCAGAATAATTGACGGTTCATTCCGCTGCGGCGACCCCTGATAAATAAGGAACTAAGTTGAATGAATTGTGTTTTAGTTGTCATATTAAAGTTTATTTATAAAGCACTTTTTTTTTTTGGAAACACCAGGTGTTCACCAAAGTGCTGCACAAATATGAGTTCAAAATAATAATAAAACATTATGAAATATAATATAGTGGATTAAAAATAATGAGTAAAATAAAATGTGTTTTACACTGTGTTAAACGGCAGACTATAGCGCAGATTAGATTTAGCTAAGCTAGACTTAAATACAGAAAGTGTAAATGTTAAGTGAGTTTAAAGCATCTTCTAAATGACTAAATAGTAATGTAAAAGTGTTTAGGCCCTTTTAACGTGTAAATGGAGACTGTTCCATAGTCAGGGGACAGCCACTGCAAATCTCATCAAATGAACTACTTTAATTGAACTGTGCTTCTGTTTGTCGTGTTTTCTCAGTTCTGTCTGCTAAGCTGCGGGAGAATAAGAAGAACTGGTTTGGGCCCAGTCCTTATGTGGAGGTGTTTGTGGACGGACAGTCGAAGAAGACGGAGAAATGCACCAACACCCACAGTCCCAAATGGAAACAGTCTCTCACTGTGTAAGAGTCAAATATACTGAATCAGTCGCAGAGTGGATCCAGAAGCATTACTCCTAATCTTATATTAGGGCTGCATGATATTGGGAAAATCTGACATCGCAATATTTTGTAATTCTGCTATATATTTAGCAATACTGTATACAGTATTATAACAATACTCAGCATATATGAGTTCACCCCTCACAAATCTCTCTTTTAAATTCATGTTTTATATAAGATGCTATACAATTATTATTTTATTATTATTTATAATAAATTTTAATAGATTTTTTCAAGTTTAATATTTTTCATTAGTTCTGTTGTTTTTGTTGTTAAATATTATGTTTTGTTTTCTAGCATTTCTGTTTAGCACATGTTTATTAGATTGCATTTATTTTATTTAAGCAAAATAATAGCAAAAACTTCATTTAAATTGTACAATTAATACTATTATTAGTAATTAATACTAATACTATTATTAGTACTATTATTAGTACTATATTGTATTAATAATTGATGGCATGGTGGTCCAGTGGTTAGCACCATCACCTCACAGCAAGAAGGCTGCTGGTTCGAATCCCGGCTGGGTCAGTAAAACATACTGGAATAGTTGGCCGTTCATTCTGCTGTGGCGACCCCTGATCAATAAAGGGACTAAGGCCGTACTCACACTAGGTACAGTTGCCTCGAACCGGGCCAAAGCACGCTTGTCCCCCCCTCCCGTCTCCCCCGACGGCCCGGGCTCACACCATATCGGGCCTTGGCACGCTTACGTCATCGCTGCTGCTCTGTTCAGTGAAGCGCTCTCTATGGCAAGCCTTTTTAGCATTTAAATCTTTGTTCTGACTCCATAAATATATTTAGAGATATCTCTAATTATATTTTGACTAGTCATAATTATAATTCCACTACTCAGAATGACAGTTGATGAGATATCTGCCATTACAATTGTACTAGTACGAAATCCGATTGGAGATATCTGCAAATATATTGTGACTGACTAGTCATATTCCTCCATTGACTTCCATTGAAAAATATTTGCAGATATCTCCAAATGAATTTTGACTAGTAACAATTGTAACTAGAGATATTTTTTTTTGAGTTTTTACTAGTCATAATACATTTGTATATAATATTGTATATATGTATATTTGTACATAATACATCTTTAATTCATCATATTTAGAGATATTTACAAATATATTTGAAGATATCTCTAATTAATTTACTAATAGTCGAATTACAGTTGTAGATATCTTGAATTGGATTTTTGACTAGTCAAAATTCATTTGGAGATATCTGCAAATATTTTTCAATGGAAGTCAATGGAGGAATATGACTAGTCAGTCACAATATATTTGCAGATATCTCCAATCTGACTAGTCGAATTATAATTATGACTAGTCAAAATATAATTAGAGATATATCTAAATATATTTATGGATAGTCAGAACAAGGTTTAAATGCTAAAATGGCTTGCCATACACTCTCACCCAGTACCACAGTAGAGATTTTTCTAGTTATATCGTTTCAGTCGTTTGTTATGCATTGACATGCAGTCAAATATTTCGCCAAACAGTCCTTAGGGATGCGGTGACACGCAGTCAGATATTTCACCGGACAGATCCGCCACTTTTGGCACTCATAAACAATCATAAAGCCCTCGTGCTGCAGGAATGAGGAGGTCTGCTGAAGGTGCAGCTGTGGTGCAGTGAGGGGTTTGCGTCTTTAATAAACTACGGCAGTTTGCGTTCACTGAACAGTAAGAATGATTAATAAATCCATATAAAACAGTCCCTTAAAAGTCACGTATCGCTTTCAGTTTCGGGCTTTGGCGTGTTTTGCACTCACACTACAAACGTATCGCGCCAAATCCCAAGTGTACCGCGCTCAGGCACACCTCTTCCAACCGGGCCAGGGCTGGCCAAGTAAACCGTGCTTGAGCCCGATTCAGCGCACTCACACTTCTCAAACGATCCGGGAAACGGGCCTGGGCACGGTACGGATGGCATAGTGTGAGTAGGCCCTAAGTCAAAGAAAAATGAATGAATGAAAAACTGTATGTTCACACTGAAAGCGGCGAGAGCGTCAAAGTAGCCGGACGTCATTCATTTTCAGTGGGAGCCGCCTGCGATAAGTGGTGAGGAGCAGGGCAGCGCGTCTTCCCAAGTCAACTTTATGGTAATGAGCCATGACATGGTTCGGTGGCAAGCAATCAGAATGTAGAAGTCCACCGCTTGAAAGGAGTCCAGAGAACACAGTCACTGTGAACTTTGGTTCCGAACACAGTTATTCCCAAGGGTTTAACCATAGGGGTTTGATTAATGCCATTGCTGGATTTCCAGTTATTTGCAATGTTGTCTTACAGGAACATACATTAAAAAGTTACTGGCCAGTTACTGATGTGCATTAATGTTATATATGTTTTTTTTCTTTAAAAAAGCAGAAATCTTATGCGATAATACAAAACAGTATAGCTGCTTCAGTATATTTCAGACAAATGGACACATTGGATAATTAAGTGGAGCAAAGCTACACCATATGCGACTTGATCTTCCATTGTTAAATGAATTTGATAAAAAGTATGCAATGCTAGAAAGCATGTTTTATGCGGGAATGTACCTGATATGCTGCAACGGCCCCTTTAAATACGTGATCAATGTAGCGAATTTTGACGCTCTCCCCACCGGAGCTGAAGGCAGACAGCATTGTCGCCAGGGCGGCCAGAGCAACCTTTGACACTCACTGCCTTCGGTGTGAACGCACAGTAATTATACCATAAATATTCTCATAGAATCTGGTAAGATTAAACACAAACAAACTTATTGTATTAAACAAACTAATTATTTTTGCAGATATTTTGCTTCCATGTCAGGTTGTTGACAAGGCGAGATTTGAGAAAAATTCAAGTTTAATTGCATTACCACAGTTGAATAAAATAATACGTATAAAAGTTTTAAAGGATAGTTCACCCAAAAATGAACATTTACTCAGTATTACCCTCAACCAATTCCAAACTTTTATGAATTTCTGTCCTATGAATAATATGGAAGTCGATGGTTACTCGTTTCCAACATTCTTCAAACGTATCCTTTTTTTTTTTTGTTCAGCTGAAGAAAGAAACTCATAAAAGTTTGAAACAAGTAACAGATGAGAAGGTGATCATTTTTGGGGTGAACTGTCTCTTTAAGTTTGCAATAGTCCTCAAATCAAATCACTTTTATTGTCACAACATCAGCAGCACGTGTGCTATGATGAGTGAAAAGCTTAGGTGCTGGCTCCAGACAGTACAAAATACAGACAGTGCAAATAAAATGACAGTGCAAAATACAGGAAGTGCAAATAAAATGACAGTGCAAAATACAGACAGTGCAAATAAAATGACAGTGCAAAATACAGGAAGTGCAAATAAAATGACAGTGCAAAATACAGGAAGTGCAAATAAAATGACAGTGCAAAATACAGGAAGTGCAAATAAAATGACAGTGCAAAATACAGGAAGTGCAAATAAAATGACAGTGCAAAATACAGGAAGTGCAAATAAAATGACAGTGCAAAATACAGGAAGTGCAAATAAAATGACAGTGCAAAATACAGGAAGTGCAAATAAAATGACAGTGCAAAATACAGGAAGTGCAAATAAAATGACAGTGCAAAATACAGGAAGTGCAAATAAAATGACAGTGCAAAATACAGACAGTGCAAATAAAATGACAGTGCAAAATACAGGAAGTGCAAATAAAATGACAGTGCGAAATACAGGAAGTGCAAATAAAATGACAGTGCGAAATACAGGAAGTGCAAATAAAATGACAGTGCAAAATACAGGAAGTGCAAATAAAATGACAGTGCAAAATACAGGAAGTGCAAATAAAATGACAGTGCAAAATACAGGAAGTGCAAATAAAATGACAGTGCAAAATACAGGAAGTGCAAATAAAATGACAGTACAAAATACAGGAAGTGCAAATAAAATGACAGTGCAAAATACAGACAGTGCAAATAAAATGACAGTGCAAAATACAGGAAGTGCAAAATAAAATGACAGTACAAAATACAGGAAGTGCAAATAAAATGACAGTACAAAATACAGGAAGTGCAAATAAAATGACAGTGAAAAAACCAGGAAGTGCAAATAAAATGACAGTGCAAAATACAGGAAGTGCAAATAAAATGACAGTGCAAAATACAGGAAGTGCAAATAAAATGACAGTGCAAAATACAGGAAGTGCAAATAAAATGACAGTGCAAAATACAGGAAGTGCAAATAAACTTGACAGTGATATGTGCAATGAATAGGTGTCCACATAGTTGTAGGCAGTGTTGTTTCACGTATGGATTGGTTAAAGTGCAGTGCATGCTACATATTGATGGTGTGCAGTGAGGGGTATGGAAGAGTCTGTGTGGGGTGTGTTAAATGTTCATCAGCCTGATAATCTAAGGGAAGAAGCTTTCCTTCAGTCGGCTGGTGCGTGATCGGATGCTGCGGAATCGTCTGCCTGAGGGTAGCAGAGAGAAAAATCTATGGCTTGGGTGGCTAGAGTCACTGATAATTCTCTTGGCTTTCCTCATGCACCGCCTGGTGTAGATGTCCTGGAGTGAGGGAAGCTCACCTCCGACTACGTGTCCAGCAGTTTTACTTTTAGTGTACTTTTTACTGACTTAAAAAAGTACTTTTTAGTGTTGGTGTATAATAATAACAGCACTTCTCTGTTGATCTTATTCCTTTAGGATCGTCACTCCTTTCAGCAAGCTAATTTTCCGGGTTTGGAGCCACCAGACACTAAAAGCGGACATTTTGCTTGGCGTGGCCAGTCTGGAGGTCAGCGAGACCTTAAAAGCCAACAACATGAAGAGTGAGTTTCCACATTCTCCACATCTGCAAATCTAACCTTCTGGTCTGGTATATGTGTGCGCTCAAGTCTGATTTATTGCCTCTTAGTAACAGAGCAAGGCAGGTGAACTGACTCATCATATCAAACAAAGGGTCTTTTCAGAGACTATGATCATGTGGGAGTCATGTGATGTGAATTTCAGCAGCGCATATTGAATGAGTGCAATCAGAAAGCGCTGAGTAACCCAGAACCAGCTTACAGTTTCCTTTTCCTGTGACATTATCAAGTGTCACCGTGAGCTTGTTTGATTAGTGGAGCCAATTTAGCTTTTCAGGTCATCCTCTGTCAATATGAGCTTGATTAACTTTATTTAATTGATATTTCGCTTGTGTTAAAACATGCTGAAATGATATTAAATTAGTAATAAATTCTTATCAGTCAGTACTTTGTACTAAATATTTATTTTAGGCATTTCAGTCAAGATATGGTTCACCTGAAAATGAAAATGTACATTACAAGTAAAACAAATGCGGTTAAACCAAAAGAAGAACTTTTGAAGAATGTTGGTGAGCTTAAAATGTTGGCTGTGGAAGACAATGGTTATTGGTTTTCAAAAATCTTATATAAATAAATATATTTTTTGCCTTAAACAGAATAAAACAGGTTTGATGAAATGCGCATTTATTTCAACCCAGGCTCATTCTGAAGACGTAGCCCTATATACATTTCTGAAGAGTGCCAAAATCGTCCCAGGAGGTACTTTTTTGTGCAGTTTTTGTTTTTGCAAATCCACCATAGGCCGCTGTGTATGCTTTTTGAGATACCAAATTTCTCTCGTGGGTGCCATTCGCGCCTGCTGTTCTCATGTAAATCCACCAGAGGCTGCTGTCGACTACCTGACTGACTGACTGACTGACTGACCAATCAACTGACCCACACTCCTCTTATTAAATCCAACCAATAGTGTTTTCAAAAGCACCGATTGACCAGAGCTCACTGACTTCGCTAAACCCAATAGACAGTTTTATAAAGCAATCCAGAAAAAGAAAAGCCCTCGCGTGATTTTTACCACATTGTGTCCCTGTTATTTACTTGTTTATTTTATTTTTTGGCTCTTGGCCTTTGTCTTACCCCCCTTTCTGGAACAGGTCTTTGCCAGAATCGAACCCCGTCATCATAGTCAACTCCTTTCTGCGTTTCATGTCCGCTGACGTACATGCCGAACTACTAGTCAAACTGGTAACAGTGGGAAAGCTGTCCACACGGAGGTAAGCGATCAGCTGGTAAGAGTGAAAAGGAGTGGTGTCATGCCACCCTGTAGCATTCGTTTTAAAGATGTATTCCAGCCATATGTACTTCTGGCTAGATAATTCGCGATCTCCAGAAATGTATATAGGGCTATGTTTTCAGAATGAGCCTATGTTGTTATTTTTCCCTTTCACAAAGCATTTTAAAAAAATATTTTAAATAATACCGTGGATTTCACGGATTGTGAAAAGTCTTAAATTTATTTATTTTCTTGTCGGCTTAGTCCCTTTATTAATACGGGGTCGCCACAGCGGAATGAACCGCCAACTTATCCAGCAAGTTTTTACGCAGCGGATGCCCTTCCAGCCGCAACCCATCTCTGGGAAACAAAAGTCTTAAATTCCATAGTAAAAAAGAAGGCCTTAATTAACCTTGAAGCGTTTTAAATCCACAATTTAGTGGTCTTAAAAATGCAATTGAATCCACCACAAAGAAGATTTTGTTTTCGTTTTGAAATCTACTTAAAGCTCTTGGACTATCATCATGCAGAAAAACATAGTCAGAACTAAAGTCCATTTATAGTCTTTGGCGGAACCCAATAAAATACACGCTCACTGGGATTATGTTTACGTAATAGATGAGATTTCGCTTGCGTTAAGATAGTTTACGTTATTATAGCTTGTAAAATCTGCATCAACCTGGTTTATTATTAAACAAAGAACTACAGAAGCAATGAATGACCAGCCAAGGACCGAAACCTGTTGATATTTCTCATGACCAGCTTGACTATAACATTTAACATAGGCTCATTCTGAAAACGTAGCCCTATGTCCTCTCCTACAGAGAGGAGCTGCTCATACTGACAAGGTTTCAGTCTGGCGAAGAACTGTTCTAGAAAGCAGGTAAGACAAAAACAAAAGCCAAAAAATAAAATAAGCAAGTAAATAACAGGGTAAGAATGTGGTAAAATCTGAAAACCTGGTAAAAAAATCAGACGACGGCTTGTCTTTTTCTGGATAGCTTTTCAAATCATTGTGGGTTGGGTTTAGGGAAGTGGATAGGTGGGTCAATCGGTGCTTTTGAAAACACTATTGGTTGGCGAGTCATTCGGTCAGTCAGTCAGTAAGTCAGTAGGCAGCAGCCTTTAGTGGATTTATGTGAGAAGAGCCGGCATGAATGGCACTCGTGAGAGAAATTTGAGGTCTCAAAAAGCATACACAGCATCCTCTGGTGGATCTTCAGAATGAGCCTGGGTTGATAAAGTTGGTCTTAAATTTCATTCTGTGTGGTATTGAAATGTCTTAAATATAACCTGCCGATAACCTGTAATATTTTTTTAAATCTTCTTTATGCACCAGAAAACACATGGTCAAAAAGTGCTGATGCTGAATTCAGGGCTGTTAAGTTTACATGTGTAATATTCTGTCCACAGTGTTGACTGTTTGTGTGTTTGTCTCAGTCTGTGAGGTGGTGCAGACGCTGCAGTTGAGCTCAGACAGAGGGCGCTCGGAGCAGGTTGGAGATCTGTCTTTGTGTCTGGATGGACTTCAGGTGGATGCAGAGACTTTCGCTTCAGAGGAACAAAAGCACAGTGAGAACTTCATGAAGAACAAAAAAGCACAAATTCTATGTGGTTTTACTGTATGTCTGTTTACCTTTTTTAAAGTAATGTACTTGCAGTGTAACTATTTATTTAACTACTGAGTAATATTTAATAAGTATTAATTAGTTAGATGTACTTACTATATGATTGGGATTAGAATTGAGTTAGGTTAAGGGTTAGGTACATGCATAATTCATTGTAATTACTATAGTAAGTGCATGGAACGTGTAACTGCGGTGCCTTAAATTAAACACAGTGTTTGCGGGGTCTTAAAATGTCTTAAATTCGCTGAAATATTGACTTGTAGGTCTTAAATCATTTTAAATGCATCTTAATTTTCCAATGTCCATGTAAAGCTACCCAATTAGGCCAACATCTGTATACAGTCACCAGCAACACATCTCATTAAACTGTTAACAATATGTTTCCTCAAAATAACATTTGTAAGTCCTCCATGTGTTTATAGACCATATGTGGTGAGGACACTGACCTGGACAGACTGTTGTACATTTAGTTTATTATAGTTTTCAAAGATTGTCAAAGAAAAGTTGAAACAAATGTATGAATTGTTTACATGTTTAAAAACACATTATTTATTATTATTATTCAGGTAATTTAAGTTTTTTTTAATAGGACAGGTAAAAATCCTTACAGTTTAGCTTATGTATAAGTCTGAAATTTCATTCATAATGGTTTTAAATAGGCCTTAAAGGGCACATAGTTTACCTCTTTTTTTATGATGTAATATTAGTATTAAGGTTGTTCTGAGTGTGCCAGATTAGGTTCAGTTCAACACACAGTTCAGATGTTTTTATTATAATGTGTTAAACAGTGTCATGTTGGGGGCGTATACACAGCATACTGTTTTAGGGGCGTGTTGCTTCACAGTTTCGGCTTCCCGCCCAACGTAACAAGGGGGCGGAGCCAAGAGCTCCCACGCTCTGTGTTTACAACAGACAGATAAACAGAGAGAGAAGCTAAGCTAAGCTAGTATCAGCATTCCGCTGACTCGGACACAGACCAAGCAGAGAGTATAAAGTCATTTGTGTCTTTGTATAGTCTCGGTGTACAAGTGCCGAGCTTTTACACCGAGACTACAAACCACACACACTGAACTTAACTTAACACTTAACTTTGACTGAGGCACCGAATGCGCCGCGACACGGCACACCAGACACTCAGTGGCACGGCAGAAACATGAAGTGTCCCGAATCGTCACGCCACGCATTCCAGAACTCCAAACACAGGCCTCCACCAGGGCAAACACAACGGCGCTGGGACTGCCGAGCCACTGACCCGAAGCTCAGCCGCGTACACCCTGACAGTAACCCACACACAGAACTCCAAAATGCTCGGCGGTGCGCCATGCAAAAGGTACAAGCAATAAATCCGATTAGAGCGATAATGTGGAGAATATTGATCTTGTGTTGAGCACAATGAGCTTTTCATCTAAAAATAGAGCAAGGGTGTTCCTTTAGTGATATCGCTTTGACTCATGTTGAAAATGGCGGACGTGCAACAAGAAACTGAGGATATGATCGTGACGCGAGGCTGTCAATTAATATTGGTGGGCGGGGGGAGCGCACTCCTATGTAAAGTTGCGGTCGCTCTGAAAACCGCTCTAATTGTTCGACCATTTTTATGTTATTAAATTGAAAAAAAGGACTGTGTGTGTTTATTTCACCCCAATATGATGGTCTATACACTATATACAGGGCTTAACATTAACTTTTTTTATCACCAGCCACAGTGGCTAGTAGTTTTCCAACGTTACTAGCCACTCTGCATTTTCACTAGCCACAATTTTGTTGTTGGGAAAATATTTTTATATGCATAAATATGACTCTGACATGCTAAAATTAGTTGATTTAGATTTTGTGGCATGTCCACATGCCTCCTCGTTCATTTCACATTTTGTGTGTCGTGTATGAGCAAATGAGTCATGGTTTCATAGTGTTATACTGCAATTAGTTTTTATTTCACATATTTCACAAAATTAAGGATTTACCTAATCTCTTACCACTCCAAACAATAATTATTTCTTTGGCACAAATTTTAAATGTGTCAAACAAGCTAAATATAGCTGTATACTATAATTTTTATTTAACAAAACATTTCTTTTAAAAAGCCAAAGAAAAGCAATCGACTTTTAAAAATAATTATTGTCATGTATCACAAATACGCCCAGTAATTTGTCCTCGCTAAAGATCTCTCAGATCACCAGTTAACTACACATAAATGGAGAGGTAATCTCATATCAAAGCAATATTGTTGTAAAAAAATGATAATTAAACCATATAAGCAAAAATAAACGTAAGCAAAAGAAAGCAGGTGAAAAACATACTGTGTAATAATGAAAGCATGATCACACGGTTAAGGCCAATTAATAATCTGTTCAAAGCGAAAGCAACCGGTGCTGCTTACAAAAACACATATTTGGAGCTCTTAAAAGCAGCAACACTGTGTGTGCATAGCATTACTTTTTTGCCTGACTATTTGAAAGAGATCCAATTACAGTTGCATTCCAGGCACGGTTGCTTCAAGGAAGGAAAAAGAAGCGTGCACGTGCTTTAAACAGTCATGCGCATCACATCAGCTGTTAGCGCGAGTGATCATCCTCTCATTCCGTATTCATCTGCTTTCTTCTGCTCGCACGAATGCAATTTTTTTTGTTAGTCGTGCTGTTATTCCATTCTAAGATCACATTTGCACGCATATTGGGTCATCCTCATAGTTGAAGTCTGCTTTTTTAGAAAACCACAATTTAAATATTATTTTCAACCAGCCTAAGTGGCTAGTGGGAGTGACTGTCTAACCCTCCAAAGCTGAAATCTACCCGCATTTGGCGGGTTGGCGGGTGTTAATGTAAAGCCCTGACTATATATACACACATGTCTGGCCAAACAGCTTGAAAAGTAGATTTTTCACCATATGTACCCTTTAAAAAGTCTTAAATGTGACTTGATGAAACCTGTAGAAACCCGCATTAAAAGGTACCGTAAGATTTATCTCATCCTAACTCGTTTAGCATGTTTTAACAACAGTTTACAGATTTACATTATTACACTGAAATATAGATTTACTCTACATCAATTTGATCTGTTTTTTTTTTTTTCATCACAGATGCTGTTGTTAATGGAGAATCCAGACTGAACGGGGATGCCATAAGAAGGTAAAATAAAGATTTTTCCACTCTGTTTTGCCTATTTTGAAGAAATACCATCATATTATTTGCAATAAGAGCGTGAATCTTTCTCCTATTGAGTTTCTTGGTGAAATGAGTTTTTCAGACCGATTCACTCTGTGTACATTTTATAGATCGTTACGCAAAATATGTATTTTTAGATGTATTTATTTCTTTTATATTATGCTTGACATCTATTGATGTTAAGTAGCTCTTGTGCAAAAATCTACTACTGTAATTACTTTTAAAATCAACACTTTACACACCGTTACATGATAATTACACACTGATAATGAACTGTGAACAAACATAAAATTCTATTTGACTAATATTTACATAAATTATTAAATGCTTAAATATCAGTGGTAATTAATAAGACCTCATTGTTTATATTGTTTGCGGCAGCTGAATTTTGTTTGTTGTGTTGTTGTTGCAGTCGAGACTCTTCTCCATCTAGTGACATCACTGACGATGCGCCTTTGCCCAATGGCCATGCAGTGGGAAGCTCCGCCTCTGCATCTCCATCCACTGGGGCTTTGAGAGCACCGCGTCCCCTTCGACCCCAGAGACCACCGCCTGCTTCACCACATAAACATACTTCCTCCACAGGTAGAGGATGTTTTCTTAGCAGTTTAAATAGGATCAGAAAAATGTAGATGTTTTCAACTAGGGTTACCTGCGTCACGTGTATACCCTAAGCTTATAGACATACCTTCCAAGGCGGTTGCTCAGCAGCCATATATTAATAAAATTATAGCGCTTCATACCAAACTTTTTTTTAATCGATATTGACAATAGTGTTCAGTCAGTAAATACTGATACCAAATTTATCTCCTAACCCTACGTTATATATTGTCATCGTTTGGCAAAATGAGTTTAGTCCAGGCTGAGTTGTCTGATTACTTTATTGTCGTATTTATAGCATCCTCTACTGGCTCGACTCCCACTCACGGCAGCAGCGCTCCCAGTCCAGAGATGTCTCCACGAGTGTGTGTGAATGGAGAAACCGAGAGTCAAGGGTCAAGCTCGGGCTCAGGCTCAAATCAGGCACCCAGAGCCAGTCCAACACCACCCAGAGCTCCAGCCATCACCAACGGCCCTCTTCCTCCAGGGTACATCAGACAAATACAGTCTAATACAAGCGCTTATTAAATTCAGTGTGTTTACTTCTTCATCAGTTTGGATGAGTTGCTTTCTAATTTAATTGTTATATTTAGTTGACAGATCTCCTGTTGCATGTCAGAACGAGAATAAAAAATTTACTGTGTAAGCAGGGATTTAGCTATTAGCTGATAGATTTAGTATTAGGTTACTTTAAAATAGTAATTGCATCAATAAAATTGTATTTCACTTGCTTTTATAATGACTCTCTGAAAAGTAACTTTAATTTAATAAGTACTTAAAAGTAACTTTATTAGTTGACTAAATACTATAAATCCACATAAATCTTAACACATAGAAATTAAACTCTAAATTCTTTTAACTTCAGTCAAACTGTATTTGATTTGTAATGTTAAGTTTAATTTGTTAATGTAATGGCACTTACATTCTAAGCAATATATTAATATACACTCACCGGCCACTTTATTAGGTACACCTGTCTAACTGTTCGTTAACGCAAATTTCTAATCAGCCAGCAATGCGCCTTAAAGGGCACATAGTTTACCCCTTTTTTATGATTTAATATTAGTATTATGGTTCTGAGTGTGCCACTTTAGATTCAGTTTAAAACACAATTCAGATTTGTTTATTATAATGTGTTCAAAAGTGTCATGTTGTGGGCGTGTACACAGCACGCTGTTTTAGGGGTGTGTTGCTTCACATGAAAATTAGTTTCGACTTCCCGCTTACCGTAACAAGGGGGCGGAGTCGAGAGCTCACCCGCTCAATAGACAGGCAGACTGAGAAGGAGCAGGAGTGAGAGGATCAGCATTCGGCCGTACATGTACGACTCGGATACAGACCAAAATCATCAGTACAAAATCATTTGTGTACTGAACTAAACTCTATACAGCCAAGTTTTACAGCCAACTGTGTTCTAGTTTCAAGTGCAAAGCTTTTACACCTAGACTAATAACCACGCACACTCAATAAACTTTGACTGAGACACCGGATGAGCCGCTCAAAGCCGTGACACGGCACAACAGACACTCTCTGTGGCACGGCAGAAACATGAAGTGTCCCGAATCGTCGCGCCACACATTTTAGAACTCTAAACACAGGTTTTCATCAGGGTGCACACACAACGGTGCTCCAAGTTGGCGGCTGTCTGCGTGCACCCCAACAGAAACTCACCCCCAGAATTCCAAAATGCACGGCGTTGCGTCAGCGTTGCAACATGCAGAGCGGAGCTTCTGGTGTGCGACCTGCAGGCAAGTTTGTTGTTTTATTTCCAATGGAGAGATGCGCACATGAGGCAACGCGCTTGCACTTTTCCAGCTGCACCTAAGATCACAGGGAGCTTCTGTGATTGTGAGAAATGCGAACAGCTGAAGTTTAAGGTAGACTCAATGAAAAGTACACGTTTGCAAACCTACCTAAAGTTACAACCAATAATTCCGATTAGAGCGATCAAGTGGTGAATGTTGGTCTTGTGTTGAGCCCAATGAGCCTTACATCTAAAAATAGAGCAAGGGTGTTCCTTTAGTGACGTCGCTTTGACTCACGCTGAAAATGGCGGACGTAAAACGACAAACTGAGGATTAAGGGGCGCGTGCCTATCAATCAATATTGGTGGGCGGGGGGACCGCACTCCTACGTCAAGTTGCGGTCGCTCTGAAAACCGCTCCAATTGGTCCACCGTTTTTATGTTGGTAAATTGAAAAAAAAAGCACTGGGTATGTTTATATCAGCCCAATATGACGGTCTATACATTATATATAAACACATGTCTGTCCAAACAGCTTGAAAAGTAGATTTTTTTAACCGTAGGTGCCCTTTAACACACCTCCTTTTTTAGACCAGAACACCTATGGGTGGAAATACATTTGCTATTTAAACAGCGAAATTGACTGCAAAACATCAAATTGACTCTTGCTCCGAGCTGAAACTAGCAAATAACAATTGTCTCGCGCCCTGCAACGATTGTATGACAGGGCCCTCTGTCTCTATTAGAGGTTTCAGTAGGGTTAAAAACACTATAGTATTTACTGTAAATTACTATAGTATATTTTCAGGTGGGTGTCTGACAGCTAAAAAAATTTATCTGGTCGCAGATATCGCAGCCTCAGTTACTTTTTACCTCACACTTTTTGTTAACATTTATTATTATTTATTTAGGATATGCATTTTCATATTCTGACTCCACTGCCTCTTTATTATGTTGTTAAAATGACTATAATTAAATATAATATATTATTAAGAATGAAATATCGTGTTCTTTGGAACAGTGTACTTGTATTATGCAAAATATATAGCGTACATATATTGTCATTCTGGCATTATATAATAAGTGGCATAAAATGGCCTTTAAATCAGTGTTTCTTAACTGGTGGGTCTCGGAAACATTTTCAGTGGGTGTGAGTGTGTGATAAAAAAAAACAACAAAAGTTTAAAATTTAACTTATTTTGCTTATATCAGACTTTTATTTTGAAATGCACGTGCGACAACCGTCCCATTTGACATGTGAAATTCCAGTGCAAGTCGGACCCCGAATATGTAAAGTGGGGATTTACATATATATAAAAATTTGGGTCGCGGCTTGATGACCATGTGAAAATGTGGGTCCCATGGCCAAACCAGTTGAAAACCGCTGCTTTAAATGACAATAATATTGTTTATCGCAATATATTGAACAACAAAAAATAGATGCCATGACAGGCCTACCCCTCTGAATTTATTTATACAGAACTGTTTAATTTATTGACAGTATTTAAAACAAGTAAATTATAAGTAACATTAACAATATAACTGCTTATATCATTTTTAAGTTGAAAAGTAATTGAATTGAAGAATCCATCACATATGTTGGCTGTATTGTATTTTCTTCTTTGTGTTTTCTCATAGCTGGGAGCAGAGAGCGGATCAGAACGGACGCGTTTACTATGTTGATCACATCGAGAAAAGAACCACATGGGAAAGACCTGAACCTCTGCCACCAGGGTAACCAGTGATCCTCAGAGGTTGCTTTTCAGTTTAACAGATTCATCAGAGTTGTATTTTGCATACTAAACATTACATATTATGTGCATATTAAGACACTAATATACATACTGAAGAGTTGCTTTTAAGCCAGGTCCAAGCTCTCAAATAATTACGTTTTAAAGAGCATCTGAGCAATGAGTAAATAAAGACAGCAAAAGGATGTGCGATAATAACAAATAATGAAATCTTGCTATTATTTGCTGGATATTTCTGATCATATAATCATTTAATATGTTTAATATGATTGTTAAAAATTTATTTAGCTTTTAGCTTTATTTGTATAGCGCTTTACAATGTAGATTGTGTCAAAGCAGCTTCACATAAATGGTCATAGTAATTGGAACAGTGTAGTTCAGTTTTTAGTGTTTAAGTTCAGTTCAGTTTAGCTCAGTTCAGTGTAGTTTAATATCATTACTGAGAGTCCAAACACTGAAGAGCAAATTCATCGATGGGTAGCTCTACCGATCCCAAACCATGCTAGCTAGAGGCGACAGCGGAGAGGGAAAAAAACTTGACCGATTGGCGAGTGAAGAAAAAAAAAAACTTGAGAGAAACCAGCCTCCATTGGCACCACCATTTTGATTTCTCCGCTGGCCAAAAGTCTTGTGCAGAGCTGCAGTCTCAGCGGTGGAGGCTGGATGCTGGCCTCAGCGAAGACTCGTCTGTCCCTGGAGCATCACTGGAATCAGTTTCATGTTCTCCACTCCTCCATGACCAGCGCAGCAGCTGCTCAGGACACGGCCTGGTCCCGGATATGGAAACCTTGGGATCATCTCATCGCTGGTCTTGGATCCAATCAGTGACTCCACATAATCTGAGGACCTCGGGATGAGTATCCCCAGGTGGAAATGGAGAATAAAGAGAATAATTAGCATAGCTGCTGTTCATAGTGTACATGAACAAGATGCAGAAACTTGTGTGGAAACCCGCTAAGTGATGTATTGAGTGTATGCTTTACTAAACAGATAGGTCTTTAATCTAGTTTTGGACTGGGAGAGTGTCTCTTAGCCTCGGAGTGTAGGAGCCATAAAGGAGAAGGCTCGACCTTCTTTACTCGACTTTGCTATTCTAGGTACTACCAGAAGCCCTGAGTTTTGAGATCTTAAAGAGCGGGTTGGATTGTAGCGAGACAGAAGGTTGGTTAGATAAACAGAAGCTCGATTATTTCAAGCTTTATAGGTAAGAACGAATATTTTAAAATCAATACAAAACTGAACAGGCAGCCAGTGTAAGGAGGATAACATTGGGGTGATATGATCATATTTTCTAGACCTGGTAAGAACTCTGGCAGCTGCATTTTGTACTAATTGAAGTTTGGTAATAGATGATGCTGGACAGCCAGCAAACAGAGCATTACAGTAATCCAGCCTAGAAGTCATAAAGGCATGGAATAGCTTTTCTGCATCTGAGATGGATAGCATACTTCGTAATTTAGCAATATTTCTCAGATTAAATTATTTGTTCTAAAACCGATTTATTTAGGAACTAAACAGTAGAGTGTTGATTAAGACAAACAAAAGCCTTTGTGCAGAGCTATTTTTGGTAATGAAACTTAAAAGCGACATTGTATTTGCGCTGATATTCTGGAAAACTGCACTCTTGCTTGTCGAATTATTGATCTGCATATCTTGCAAATATTGTAAATAAAGTAAGTAAAGTAAGTATACTTAAAGTGGTAAGTATATTGTAAATATTGTAAGTAAAGTAAGTATTTGGTGTTTAATTTGTAATTGTACTTAGTGTGTAATTATGTATTTATTTATTTAGACAGAAAGTTGGGCAACGCTGCTTGTATAAATGTCGTTTAAAAATTCACACATTGTTAAAGCAACAATTACCATATTCATTTAGCAGGCGGTAAATATCACACACTCCTAAAACAGCATTTAAGCTTACTTTAAGTCTTTATTTTGTTACTTTTATTGATTTTCATGTATTTTGTAGACATTCATCATCACAATGTTATTTAGAGAATGCTGTGTGTTTATGCTGTAGTTGGGAGCGACGTTTAGACCCAATGGGCCGTGTGTATTATGTGGATCATATAAACAGAACCACCACATGGCAGAGACCCACGCTAGAGTCGGTGCGCAACTATGAGGAATGGCAGAACCAGCGCAGTCAACTTCAGGGAGCCATGCAGCGCTTCAACCAGAGGTTCATCTATGGCGTGAGTTCATGTGGAGTAGACATTACAGCTGTGGCGAGAAAAAAAAACTGTTCAAGAAATCAGTGCTGAGGTTTTCAAAATGCATTGCTGTTCTCTCTTGAATTAATTCTGAACTTAGTTTTTACCAACAAATGGCGCTGTATGCTTTACAAACAGCCAAACTCTGCTTGCATCCAATTGCTTACAAATACCACTTGAAACTAAAACAATTATTAATAAAGTTAGGAAACGTTTAAGCAAATTACAAGAGTGTTCATAGTGAGTTGTTTTTATATTAATCACATGGCACAGAAGCCAATTTTCATTACTCAGGCAAAGTACAAGCACTTTTCATTGTGAGCAATTGAGTTCATGGTTAAAGACCAGCATAGAGCTTTATCTGCTATTTAAAATTAGCCTAGAGTGGCATCTGCTATTAAAAACTAGCATAGAGTATCGTCTGCTGTTAAAGAACAAGTCTAGAGCTCTGTTTGCGGTTTAAAACTAGCCTAGAGTGTCATCTGCTGTTAAATAACTGTCTTAAGCGCCGTCTGCTGTTAAAAAACTAGCCTAGAGCTCTGTTTGTAGTTTAAAACTAGCCTAGAGCGCCAATTGCTGTTTAAAACTAGCCTAGAGCACTGCCTGCTGTTAAAAAGTAGCCTAGAGCGCCATCTGCTGCTAAAGACCAGCCTAGAGCACCATCTGCTGTTAAAGACTAGCCTAGAACACCATCTGCTGTTAAAGACCAGCCTAGAGCACCATCTGCTGCTAAAGACCAGCCTAGAGCACCATCTGCTGCTAAAGACTAGCCTAGAGCACCATCTGCTGTTAAAGACTAGCCTAGAGCACCATCTGCTGTTAAAGACCAGCCTAGAGCACCATCTGCTGTTAAAGACTAGCCTAGAGCACTATCTGCTGTTAAAGACTAGCCTAGAGCACCATCTGCTGTTAAAGACCAGCCTAGAGCACCATCTGCTGCTAAAGACCAGCCTAGAACACCATCTGCTGCTAAAGACCAGCCTAGAGCGCCATCTGCTGCTAAAGACCAGCCTAGAACACCATCTGCTGCTAAAGACTAGCCTAGAGCCTGTTTGCTGTTTAAAACTAGCCTAGAGCGCCATCTGCTATTAAAAACTGGCATAGAGCACCATCTACTGTTAAAAACCATCCTAAAGCACTGTCTGCTGTTAAAGAGTAGCCTAGAGCGCCATTTGCTGTTTAAAACTAGCCTAGAGCACAGTTTGCTGTTTAAAACTAGCTTAGAGCGCCATCTGCTGTTAAAAAAACTAGCATAGAGCACCATCTGCTGTAAAGAAACCAGCCTTGAGCACTATCTGCTGTTAAAAACCATCCTAAAGCACTGTCTGCTGTTAAAGAGTAGCCTAGATTGCTGTTTAAAACTAGCCTAAAGCACCGTTTGCTGTTTAAAACTAGCCTAGAGCGCCATCTGCTGTTTAAGAATAGCCTAGAGCACCATCCCTACTGAAAAAAACAGCTTAAACCAGAATAGGCTGGTTTAAGCTGGATTTTTCTGCAGGGATCGGCTGTTAAAAACTAGCCTAGAGCATCATCAGCTGTCAAAAACTAAGCCTAGAGTGCCATCTGCTGTTAAAAACTAGCCAAGAGCGTCATCGGCTGTCAAACACCAGCCTAGAGCACCATCTGCTGTTAAATACTAGCCTAGAGCGCCAACAGCTGTTAAAAACTAGCCAAAAGCGTCATCGGCTGTCAAAAACCAGCCTAGAGCACCATCTGCTGTTAAAAACCAGCCTAGAGCACCATCTGCTGTTAAAAACCAGCCTAGAGCACCATCTGCTGTTAAAATATAGTCTAGAGCGCCAACTGCTGTTAAAAGCTAGCCTAGAGCGCCATCTGCTGTTAACCACTAAGCTAAACTTGATTCGAGAGAGAATAGCAGTAAATTTTTTTAAATCTCTGAATGAATTTCTGAAATATTTTTGACACAGTTGTAACAGGACATGCAGTCAGATGTTGAGTTTTTTCCTTAGATGATTTTTAATAAAAAGAATCACCTCTGTGACCTTAGCTGAGGGTATTTCATCTGCTCTTGTTCTTTCCTTCTGCTCATGTCTTCAGCTGCAGGAACAGCTCGCGCCGACAGCTAATAAAGAGTTTGACCCTCTGGGACCGCTGCCGTCAGGATGGGGTGAGTCTGTTTTGTGCTGCAGAAAGAGGAAATTTCATTTCAACCTTAAAATAGAGCAGCTCATACTGGCTTTTTTTTTCTCTGTGTGTGTTTATTTTGGGACGTTATCTATTTGCACATTCTTTATACACTGAAACATAATGTGTGATTCAATCATTTGTGATTATTTGGATGCCGTGTTATTTTAATCAGGATTAGTCACTCAAAAACAATTAAGTGTGTGTGTGTGTGTGTGTGTGTGTGTGTGTGTGTGTGTGTGTGTGTGTGTGTGTGTGTGTGTGTGTGTGTGTGTGTGTGTGTGTGTGTGTGTGTGTGTGTGTGTGTGTGTGTGTGTGTGTTTGTTTGTTTCGCTCACAGAGAAACGTACCGACAGTAATAGGAGGATGTATTTTGTTCACCATCCTACAAGATCCACACAATGGGAAGACCCTCGCACACAAGGGTGGGATCATTATGAGCTGCACGCAATATATTTATACAGTACTATTTAATATTTATATACTGTTGCAATTCTATAAATATTTACAATGTTTTTTTATTTTTAGTTCAATTTTTAGCCGTTTTGTTGCATGCTTTTGTCATTTTTTTTGTTAATAGTTGAAATAGTATTGTTTTTTTATTGTTTTATTGCTATTAAAGTTTTTTATTAATATTCTGTGCTTGCTTATAAATTTGTAAGCTTATGTTCATTTCAATGTACTATTATTTTAATTTTCATTCATATTAATATTATATTAAGCTTTTTTTATATTTTCAGTATTTAATTGATTGAAATTGTGAGATATTTAGTATTTTTGCTGCATTTTTTTAGATATTAATTATATTTAATACAGACAATGTATTATGTTTTATTGCAATTTAAATTATTTTATTTTTTATGTTTAAATTTCATTTAGTTGCCATGGCAGCATTTGTAAGTTTTATATTGAATTAATCAAGTTTTTTAAAATATTTTTTATTCCTTATCTTTTTATATTATTAGTATTATTATTATTATTATTATTATTAATATCATTTTTATTATTATTATTATTATTATTATCATAATTTTTATTATTATTATTTTTTATTATACATTTTTTGCAACTAAATTACCTAATTTCTGTTTTATAATTATTATTATTATTATTATTATTATTATTATTATTATTATTATTAACCAAATTTCCTCCTTTCTGTATATTATTATTATTGTTATTTATTTGTTATTTATTTTATATTTTTTTACAAGCAGGCAATAAGCATTATATTTGTTGTAATTAATTGTTTTAATTTGTCAGGTTGCTAAATGAGAAGCCTTTGCCGGAAGGTTGGGAAATGAGGTTTACAGTGGATGGGATTCCCTATTTTGTGGATCACAACAGAAGAACTACAACATACATAGACCCCCGTACAGGAAAATCCTCGCTGTGAGTTCTTATATTATTATAAGAAAAACTTTTTTATTTTTAAAACCTTCAGCATGTTGATTTTACACAGTGACGCTCCTGTTTCAGTGTACAAATTAAGTTCAATGTTGTTTTGTTTTGTTTTTAATCAGTGCTGATGCATTGCAGTGAGGTTGTGTGTGGTGTTTTACCATCTGTCTGTTTGTGTCTTTGTGGACCTGCAGTGAGAACGGCCCTCAGATCACATACGTACGAGATTTTAAAGCCAAAGTGCACTATTTCCGCTTCTGGTGTCAGGTAAGACCTCATGGAGGAGTTATACTAATTTAAAATGATTTTTTATAAAGCTGTTTTAATATCTCCTGATGTCTTCAAATCTCTGATGTTTCATTTAAGAAGTCGATGCTTAAAACTTTAATTTAAAATCTTGAATTAAGTCATTTTATTGTAAATTATTGGGGGACAGTGCAGTCTGCTTCCAAAAGAAGTTGTGAGTTTTTGCAAGTTATTTATCATATAAAAATGATAATTAACATTTAATAATGACTAATATACATACACTACCGGTCAAAGGTTGGGGTCAGTAGGGTTTTAAAATGTTTTAAAATAAGCTTCTCCTGCTCACCAAAGCTGCATTTATTTAATCAAAAATACAGTACAAATTGTAAAATTGTGAAATGTTATTGCACTATAAAATAACTTTTCAAAAGTAGTTTTTCATTTCATTTAATAATTTATTCTAGGGATTTTAATGATGAATTTTCAGCTTCATTACTCCAGTCTTCAGAGTCACACGATCCTTCATAAATCACTCTAATATTAATTATCATTGTTGTTATTTTATTATGTATAATGTATATTATTATTATTATTATTATTATCGGTAATAGTAATAAAAAATAATGACTGGAGTAATAATTTCCTTTAAAAACAACATGTAATAAGTTATAAATAAATATTTTATAAATAAGTAATTAACAATTAATTATTATTTTTTACATTTAATAAGGGACACCTTGATGAGCAAAATAATGTTCTTTAAAATAAAAACTGACCTCAAACCTTTGACCGGTAGTGTATATTATTGCATAGTATTATTTATTTGTTTATTTATCTTTATGCTGTTGTAATTAACAAAAATATGATTATTAATTATACAGTTTATTATATAATAATAAGTGTCCAAACCTTTGTTTTATTTCACAAGTCAATGTTTAAAACCTATTTTAATATATTGAAGAAGGTCATTTTTGTGATTCTTTTAAAAAAAATTTATTAATTGGCAGAATAAAATAATATATTTTTAGGCTTTTTTTAAAGTTATTTATCATATAAAAATGATAATGAATATTTAATTACTGATATAAATCTATAAATGCTTACTATGATTTATTTATTTTTTATGTTATATTATTGTTTTTGTTTTTATATTAATAATATAAAAATATTATTATATATACTTCATATTTTATAATAATAATAATACTAATATATGTATGATATAACCCATTTTTTGTAAAAAAAAATATATACATTTAATTTATCTGAAATAAATATTAAAACATTTTTTAATTTAAGAGCTTATGGACATAGTTCCAAAACTAATTAAAAAAATTATTTGCAAATGTAAATATTTATTTATTAATTAAAACATGTATTTTAACACCACAGCAATTATCAATGCCTCAACACATCAAAATCCATGTGAGTCGCAAAACGCTGTTTGAGGACTCATTTCAGCAGGTAAATGATGATTTATTTACACATATTTAAAGTTTAAGGGTCTCATTACATGCGATGTGCAGAAATAAATTATACATTTTTAAAAATTGATTTATTTAGATTATGGGTTGCCATCCACAAGACCTGAGGCGAAGATTGTGGATCATTTTCCCAGGGGAGGAGGGGCTTGACTATGGAGGCGTGGCCAGGTACATAACATCATTGATGGGAAGGGATGCACTGAGTTGACATATGCACACATGCACATTAATGCTGTGTATTTCTGTGGCAGGGAATGGTTTTTCCTGCTCTCGCATGAGGTCCTGAACCCCATGTACTGTCTGTTTGAATACGCCGGCAAAGATAACTACTGCCTACAGATTAACCCAGCATCCTCCATCAACCCAGACCACCTCAAATACTTCAAGTTCATCGGCCGCTTCATTGCTATGGTATGATAATCATGATGAAGTGTGGGGATGTAATGACGAGCCAAAAATTATTGAGACAATCTAATTGTGAACATGACAACCTAAAAACATGCAATTCTGAGTGTGCCTCACATAGGTGAGTGGGCTTGACAGACCACCTGTAGAAAACGCACTCTTTAACCTCTCTGACACTTGCACCAATTTTGCAGATTTTCACCAACCATCACTCAACATCACAAAATTAAAATATATAATAATATTAAAACTCATCGAATCGTGAGTGAATGAATCATTAAAGCAATACTGAAGATCACACTGTACAGTTGAAGTCGAAATAATTATAGCCCTCCTGTGAAACTTTAATTCTTTTAAAAATATTTTCACAGTGCTGTTTTACTGAGATAATATTTTTACAACGCATTTTTAACAAAATTGTTGTAATAACTCATTTCTAGTAACTGATTTTTAAATGTTTTTTCTAATATGTTTCTAGTTATTTTGCAAGATACCAGTATTCAGCTTGAAGTACAATTTTAAGGCTTAACCAAGTTCATTATAATTAGGCCATTGTCATTGGACAACACTTTTTTTTTTGTTTATTCATTTTGTTTGTTCTTTTGCCAGTCCAAAAAAAATTCTTAAAGGGCACCTATGATACAAAATGATCTTTTGGGACATATTTGGACACAAATGTGTAAATTTTTTACATTTCCTGATGTTAAAATAGGATCCAAATCCCAGTGATTTTGAGGCCCACAGCAATGTGACGTAGGAGTAGGGTTTTGATTGACAGGCATGTGTTAACATGTCTCCGTAGTAACGGGTATAAACATGTCCACAGAACATTTCGTCACCTTAGAATTATAAGGTTCTATCTTACATTTTTGTCAAAATTAAGTTATTGACATATTCTTATTAAATGACAACTTATTTACATTGTGATTTTTTTTTTTTATAAGTTGTTTATATTTCAAGACTTTTTATTTAAAAAAACAAAAACTATTTATCTAGAAAGTTGAACTCTAGCTTGGCTCTATAAGGTTCTTTCTGTGAGCCAATCAGCATTTTTAATGCACGTACGAGGACCAATCAGGACCAGCTTTCTTTGTCATTTGCCGGACTGCTCCATTGACAGCAGGAAACACCAGAAAGACAAAATCACAAATAATCAAAGTCGGCTAAATAATGCTGCACCCCACAAAATTGAGATGTGTGTAAATGTGATGATTTAAAAGCATTTTTTGACATTTAGATTAAATGTTAAATTTTACATTGTTGAAAAAGAAACAAAATATTTGTAAAAATTATATATTAAATGTGAAATATTTTAATTTGTGTATATATAGTCAGTGAAACACTTTTCAGTGTTTATTAAACTCATTTGGTCATCGTCTGTTGATTATGCAGTCTTTTAATTTGATATTAAGCCTTGAAGTGCAAATACTTTATTTAATTCATGGGGCATATAATTCAATAAATATAATTCAATAATTCATCTAAAGCATAAAGTTTTATAATTATGATCATATTAATTACATAAAATTAACATCTGCACTAGATAAAATATTTAGCACAGCCTTGTGTTAAATTTAAACAAGTAAAAAATATTCATCCTACAACATTAAATAAATTTTATAGAAAGCACAAATGTTTCTTCCTCACGCCTCAACATATTGTTACAACACCAAACTATATATTTTTGATTGTTTTTTATTGAAAAGTAATGCTTCAATTAATGATCTGCCAGATATAACCTTATAATTCCTAGTGGAAAATGACTTTTCAGAATGAAAAGGTTCTATCTGCATTTACCCTGGTTTATTTACTCCAATTTGCAAATGTAGGAGAACTAAAAGATAGTTTACATTTAGAGTACCTTTGGGGTCTCTGTCATGTTAATGTATAAAAGAGAACTCTTACATACATACTGTTTGCTATATGGAATGCAAAAACTTTAAAGCTCAATATCTCAAAATCATTCAGAACGCAGAGAGAATCTTATAGTTCCAAGGTGATGATTTTTCTCTTGGAAACTGCGATTAAAAGATCTGTTCAGCTCTCTGTGAGAAGCTGCAGCTCAAGAAATAGTTAAGCAAATTTAAAAGTTTTTAAAAGGGTGCATGTTTGTAATAAAATAAATAATGTAAAATTGCTTTTATTCATAAACGCTGGAATCACCTGGTGTCAGTAAACACACGTGTGTACTACACTCAGTAACAGCATTAGTGTGTGACTCATCATTTCAGAAAGGCTTGAATAAACTCCAGCACAACTTCATCAGATAAACTTACTTGGTATTTTTCACTAATGAGTAGGGCCAAACGAAATCTGCGGACGTTTTTTGCTATTTCTTCTGAGAATTTTGGTAAAAATCTGCATATTTCTGCGGAATTATTTCGGGAGTATCATAACTAAAACCTTAATATGTGAAATAAAAAATAACCTCTTTTTAACAATTTTATTTAATGTTTAAAATGCAAATTCAGTTAGATTCACTTTATTTAGTAAACAAAGCAAGTCTCTCATATAATATCTCTACTAAAAGACAGAAAATATTACTGTACAAACTGCATTGCACATAAACCAGATGAACATTTTCACATAAGTCTATAATATCACTATAATAAATTTAAAAACTGAAAAAATATAAACTTACACACATTTACTCAAGTAAATGAACAGAATTAATGATGGGCTAAAAATCTGCTGAAAGCTGCGTAAAATCTGCAGATTTGGTGTGGGCCTACTAATGAGCTGTATTTCAGCTTTATCCATGTTTGTCTCTGTCACTGACTGCTGTTTATCTGACGTAACACAGGAGAAGCAGTTGGAAACGGTCCTCAGACTCAGACTCCAAAATGGGCATATTCTGCATTGTATAATAAATAATCTGATGGGTATTTTGAGCTGAAACTTTACAGACACATTTTGGAGACACCAAAGGCTTATCTTAAATATTGTAAAAGAGGTTAAATTGGTGCATTTAAGAGGCCTAATAATATTGTCCTTAAAAATTTGTTTTAAAAAAATGTAAAAACGGACTACTAAATGAACTAAATGAAATGAGACTTTCCTTTGAAGACAAAATAATGTAGGATATGATGTATAATATTAATGTAGTTTTCAAATACTTGAAAATCTCTGTTAAATGTCATTTGGGATTTTTTTTTTTTAATTCAACATTTCATTTTCGTTTAATTTCACATTTGCAAAGAAACATGTAGAAAAAGCCTAGTAAACGGACACCTTTTCATTTATTGTATAACATATTCAATCTCATTCTGTAAAACTTGAATTGTGGAATCAAATTCATGAATCGAATCAGAAGTGAGTCAGTACAGCCCTACTGAAGTGTCATGTTTTGAAATGCAGTTTAATATTGTATTTTCTGCTTTTTTTCCTCACATACAGGCTTTGTTTCATGGGAAGTTCATCGACACCGGCTTCTCTTTGCCCTTTTATAAGCGCATCCTGAACAAACCTTTAGCTCTGAAGGACCTGGAGTCCATCGACCCCGAGTTTTACAACTCTCTCATCTGGATCAAGTGAGTCTGCATGAGTGCTAACTACAAAAATGACATATATTTATCAATATTAAATATTATAAAGAATACTTTTGTAACACTTTTCAAAGGTAAAAGCCAGTACAACTGTGTAGATACAGTATATAATGACATTATATGATGAATGTTATTCAATTAGTAATTCAGTAGAGGATCATGGTGCCAGCAATGCTAAGGTTGTTAGTTTTAAGGCCATGTTTTGTATAAAAACATCGGTAGCACTTTAGTCTAGGCCACAATTCATGCTATTAACTACTGGCTTGTTACCTGCCTATTATTTAAGGTATTACCTGTTTATTAGTAGTTATAAAGTATGATCTTATTCTGCGTCTTTAATCCAAGCCAAAACCTAAACCTAACTTCTACCTTGCTAACTATTAATTAGTCTGTTGACCTAGTAGTATTAGTTAATGGTTTGTTTATGACAATGTGTTACCAAATCATCTGCCAACTGAAATAATGTACCTGTCTTATTTTTCTACAGGGATAATAATATCGAGGAGTGTGGCTTGGAGATGTTTTTCTCTGTGGATAAGGAGATTCTGGGAGAGGTCACAACTCATGAACTCAAACCTGATGGAGGAAACATTCAGGTGACGGAGGAAAATAAAGAGGAGTATATCAGGTAAGACATTACTGTGCCCAAATAATCATAGTAAACACATTTTGGGACTTGATTTGTTTTTAAAGGTTGTCAAACAGTGTAATGAATGCTCAGACAGAGATGGATCCATGTGCAGTACGTTTATTATACAATTGAGGAATAACAGCAAAAGGTATATACTCAAGTGTGCAGCAGGGCAATACTGGTTTGTAGACAGGCGGCTAGTAATCGGCATCGGATAACAGGCTGGGATCAGGGCTGGCGGCTGAGATTCGGAATCCAAAGCAGGCCAAGTTCAGGGCAGGCGGCGAGATAAGCACAGAGTCGAGAAACAGTCTGGGTTGGCAACAGGAAACAATCAGGATTAGGAGAAAACGCTCAGAAATGTCTGCGGGGCAAAACAAGACTTCGCAATGAAGCAGTGTGTGTGTGTGTGTGTGTGTGTGCTGCTTATATGTGTGTGGAAGGTGATTGCTGGAAAATAAGCAGAACTAAACGGCATTAATCAGAGCAGTTGTCAAGTCAAGTCAACCTAAGCTTTATTGTTATTTACAGTTGAAGTTGAATTATTAACCCCCTGAATTATTAGCCCCCCTGGTTATTTTTTTCCCAATTTTTGTTTAACTGAGAGAAGATTTTTTTCAACACATTTCTAATCATAATAGTTTTAATAACTCATCTCTAATAACTGATTTACTTTATCTTTGCCATGATGACAGTACATAATATTTGACTAGATAATTTTAAAAGACACTTCTATACAGCTTAAAGGGTCACGAAACACCAAAACACATTTTTTTGAGTTGTTGACAGTGCTATATATGTCACATGCTGCTAAAAACACTATAAGGACACATATATTTCACTAAACAGTGTAAATTGGTTGTTTTTGTGTGCAAAGTGAATGATTACAGCGAAAGTCTTAAAATATAGTCTTCTGCTGCATCCCAGGACATACCGGACTATTTGGGAATGAACAAGCCGACAAAGCCGCCAAAACAGCCCTAGCAGGAAAGCTGAAGGAGTGTAAAATCCCACCTTCAGATCTAAAGCCACTAATAAAAGGCTATATTCTTAACAAATGGCAAACCGAATGGGATCAGTGCCCAGAAAATAAACTTTTTGAAATTCAACCTGAAATAGAAAAAAAAAGTAATTAATTTTTTTAAGTCAAGACATGATGAGATCGATTATAGAAGATGCTGCATTGGACACACGAGACTCGCGCATGAACATTTACTTAAAGGAAAAGAACCCCCAAAATGTCCATATTGCAACAGAAACCAAACTGTTAAACATATTCTTGTGGAATGCCCCATTTTTAATGTTATTAGACAACAATATTTATCTGGAGAGACTTTGAAGGAAGTATTTTTAAATGTGAATGCCCAAATCGACATTCCTATATCATCCCTCTTTTGCTCCTCCAACACACGGCTGGACACGCCCACTTCCCTGACTTTTTCCAAAGTAGAGGTGTGAAAACACCCTGCTGAGACAAGGGTGTTTCATGGCCCTTTAAAGTGACATTTAAAGGGTTAACTGGGTTAATTAGGTTAACTAAGCAGGTTAGGGTAATTAAGCAAGTTATTGTATAATGATGGTTTGTTCTGTAGACAATTGAAGAAAAAAAAATAGCTTAAAGATTCTTATAAATTTGGCCTTAAAATGATTCTTAAAAATTAAAAACTGATTTTATTCTAGCCGAAATAAAACAAATATGACTTTCTCAAGAAGAAAAAATATTATCAGACATACTGTGAAAATCCTCACTCTGGTAAACATTATTTGGGAAATATTAAAAAAAGAAAAAAAAATCAAAGGGGGCTAATAATTCTGCCTTAAACTGTATAAACATGTGTTGACATAAAACGAAACAAAATGTCGTGTCTCACAGGACCACACAAATAAGAGCTAGTTTAAACCTATACAAAACTAACATACCGGAGCAGTAATCTAACTATTCTAACTACCGACTATTCATATACTATAAAGACAGACTATGCAAGTACTTCAAAATGAGATGTTTTTTAGAGGTATAGTGAAGAAACAAGTAGTGCAACATGATTTGTGGTACATACACAAGTAAAGGACTAACATTTACGAGTCACATCACATGAATTACATTCACAGGTCCTTGTAAGATGGAGTTAAGGTGAAGTGTCTGGTGTATATAGAGAGAAGAGTGTGTCTACAGGTGGTTTGTCAAACCCACTCACCTGTGTGAGGCACACTCTAGCTGCGTCCCAAATCGCATACTTATGCACTATTCTACGCCATTTTGTAGTATAAATAGTCTAAGTAGTGTGTTCACACTGAAAACTCTTACAATAATAAGTGCTCTTTACTTACCCGAATGATGCACTCATTCAGCCGCTAAAATGAAGTGTATAGTGATGGACACTTCACGCACTCAACGACCGCAGGTTTGCTCGAGTAGCGGAAGGGGCGGAGCTATCGGGCACACATGTTGCATAACTTTATTTATTTTGGATTGTGAAAGCAAAATTCTCCTACGATAGGGATTATAGCGCCTCCCGATGGTGAATGCGGCAATACTCACGGCAGGTATTATTTGATAATTCGGTCGTTTATTTCACTGATTTGGTGACCGTCAAACCTTATTAGGGAAACGGTTTGAATTTCCGCTTAGTAAAAAAACATTTGTGCGCCATTTGGGACGCCACTACATACATATACTATCCTGTTGAGTGTGTAAGTGCATAAGTACATAGTGCATGAGTGCATAGTGTATAGTGTGCCATTTGGGACGCAGCTTCTGTGTTTACTAAATTGATCAGTTGCACATTATGGTCCTAGTAGTGTGTGATTTGATAAACTCATGTTCTTGAATTATGCTTTTGCCACATTTGCTTTTTAATATTTATATATTAGGCAAAAACACCACTATGAAACTACTAATGCCTCAGTGGTTTTGTTCAAAGACAATTAAATTTGAGCTCTTATTCGCAACTAAATGGTGACAGCAATTCACAAAGCACCAACATTAATCATTGTTTTCCTTTTTGACTGAAAAACTGGAAAAAATAAATAAATAACCCGATTCAGTTTTTTATGATCAAGGAAAGTTTCGGAGGCAGTGTATCGATACGATTGACATAACATGAAGTTTATTTTTATTTATTTTTAAAGTGCGAAAACTACGGACAAAAGATTCAGTGTGCAGCAACCTTTATTCTGGAGTACTGAAGCATTGTGAGGGTGTGATTGTGAAGTTGTTGGTGTTTCAGGTTGGTTGCTGAATGGAGGTTGTCCAGAGGAGTCGAGGAGCAAACTCAGGCCTTCCTCGAGGGCTTTAATGATGTCCTGCCGCAGCAGTACCTGCAATACTTTGACGCCAAAGAACTTGAGGTACACAAACTAAAAATAACAGCCCTGTAAAATTTATATTATTTTCCAATTATTTGTGTTTTACCATTGTTTAACCATTGTGGGCTGTTGGGTCGTTTACACACACTCAAGGGTTAATTTGGAGTCTTCATGTGGCCATAACTTTCTTTGTGTTGCAGCAAATGGAATGATTTTTGGGGACAAATCTTATTTTGACACATATTTTGTAAAAATGCTTTGAAATATTTAAAAAATTCAACAATACACTTACATTTACTACCTTTTGGTTATGTTGGTGGCAGTTTTTGCCTCATTGACTTCCATTATAATGACTTCTTTTATTGCAAAGTCATGACAGCATATAATCATGCATTTTTGATTATTGCTGGTTTTCCCTGTTGGGAAGAGGTCAAAATTGGCTGTATTTGGCTATTGACGATTTGACACGATTCAGGATCGTTTCGTTCTTCAAAATTGTTGTTCGTCAAAGTTGTTGTCATAGCAGCAGTTCTGGCAGCTCAAACCTGCTCGGAAGCAGCTTATTTCTTATGAACAGGATAATACTGAAAGTATGTACCGAATGCTGATATTTTCTTACAGTAGTAGTTACATCCACTTGGGAAAATAGTAAATATTTATTTTAACTAATATATATATATATATATATATATATATATATATATATATATATATATATATATATATATATATATATATATATATATATATTGTAGGGATAGTTTACAGTTTAACCCAAAGAATGACCAGTCTGGTAGATGAAAAAGAGCCGGAGTCAGAGATTTAAATAAATAAATCAAGTTTACTGAAAATAGTTTGCAGTTTCATCCGCAGAAGCCAGCTTCAACACTCGTAATGAGTTCCTAGGCCGCTCTGCTTACAATCACCAATCAATAACAATTACACTCTCACATAACGTCATTAACTGCGTCATACACATAGGTGTTCTAACCTGATTGGTTAAAACACAGATAAACTAGGAACATTTCCACGTGGGGTTCGTGCGTACAATACTGAACATTATCTTAAGCATAAACGTCAAACATCCCTTAGACTGATTAGAGCTGACTCCAGACCTGTGAAATGGATCAACAATCAAACAGAACACTCACACAAAGTATAATCTGTTTCTTATCCAAGGCTGAGTGTACTGTCAGCTGTCTTTATCGAAACTGGTTAAAAATTGGTATAATCTACATTCAGGCAGTTATAATCTTACTACACAAAGTCTATCTTGAATAAAAGTAGAATCACTTTAAAAGATTTAACTGTAAAAATAGCAAAATCACTTTAGACTTTTTAGACAGTATTAACTCCTAGAAATAACAATAGGAACAGTTGATTCCAGTCCTCAGCCCTCAGTTCCACTCAAGGTCTCCATGACCTCTGACCTAGTTTGCTGGCTCCTGAAAATAGGTATAAAGAGACAGGCAAATGCTTTGAACATTCTTATATTAAGCAGTTAAATACTGAGAAACAGGATGATGAAAAGGATAAACGTTGGTGTATGTATTTATATATATATATATATATATATATATATATATATATATATATATATATATATATATATATATATATATATATATATATATATATATATATAAATTTAAAATATATGTTAATAAAACTTATTCAATCTGGACTCCGAAATAAAAGTGCAAAGACTGCCACCTGTTGGTTCAAAGAGAATATGTATTGATATGAACTTTTTCCAATACAAACGTGTACAATCGCTTTAGTACAATTTGTGTATGATAATAAACATGCACGATATGCGACTTTTTTAAAAATAATAATACATTTATTCAGTTATGAACATGTTTTGACAGTATGATGGTGATTTGATGTTTCACAAAAGTTGCAGACGCCTTTACCAATATCAAAATGCTTTTGTGATGCAAAATTAGTTAAACATTCAGTTATTCTTTACCCCGATTAGGAACCGACTACTATAATAATACTATGGCTACTATAATGGAAAATCCGATCTAAAATGTAAAACTAAATAAATAGCTAAAGACTCCTGACACATGAAAGTGTAAATATGCCTTCCTTAAGATTTTATGTAATTTTTCTCACATGGATAATTGAATATTAATAAGATGATGTCATTACGCTGCTGTGCTGTCAGCCAATCGTTGCATTGCTGATCATGATTTCAAGGGTCTATAGATCTGTCCTTCACAACACACACATCGATCTGCAGTCACAATGTGTTCCTCATGTGTAATTGTGCTTCAGGTTATGCTGTGTGGGATGCAGGAGATCGATCTGGGCGACTGGCAGAGGAACTCTATCTACAGACACTACGCTCGCAGCAGCAAACAGATCGTCTGGTTCTGGCAGGTCAGGCTGATCTGCCATTATAAATCTTCATGCATTATTTATAAGTGATGATATTATAATTATCCATGCATTATAAACCTGTGTGTTTAGTTTGTGAAGGAGATGGACAATGAAAAGCGCATGCGTCTGCTGCAGTTTGTGACCGGCACATGCAGACTTCCCGTTGGGGGATTCGCTGATCTTATGGGTAAGAGTCACTGTTTGACTGGTTTATAATTGTGAAAAATAAAAGCACAAAATACTTTGGTATAGTACTTTAAATGAACATTAAAATAATATATGTGTGCATATATATTCAATTAGTTAGTACCTGTAACGACGGGGAGTGACACCAACAACAGAAGGAAGGATCCAAATGCAGGTTTAATCGTAGTCAGGCAAGCAATGGTCAATACAGGTGTAAACAGATGTATGAGGGCAATCCAGAGTCGAAGTCAAAATAACAGGCAGATGGTCAGAGGCAGGCAGCAAACAGAATTAAATAAATAAACAAGGCAAGGATCAAAACACGGCAAAGGCAGACAAAGGAAATGTGTTGTAATGTCACTATCAGTAAACTTGACTCGGCAACATGTGTGTGGAAAAGAGGGGTTTAAATAGTCCAAATAATCATTGTGTGAGTGGCTTCAGCTGACTGGGTGTTGTAGTCCATAACATGGCAGATATGTAGTTCAATGAGTGTGAATGTTTGTGCGTGAATGTTTACCAGCGACATCTGGTGGTTGTTCGCTGGTGAACATGACAGTACCATACATATAAGGTAAAACTTGAACTAATCTAACAAAAAAACTGAAGATCACATTTCATATATTTGTACACCCAAATTATCATGTTGGGGGAAAATATAAATGTTTTAAAAATATTAATAGTTCATTAAATATTAATTCAATGTAATAAATAAGAAAATCAAGAGAGACATAAAATATCATATTAAGTTGAAATTTTGTAGTTTGTAATTTTTTTTTTTTTTTTGCAATAACTCTTTTGAATTGAAATGTATTATTTTTCTTTTATTGTCTTTCTGTGAAAAAACAAAATTCTGTTTCTGAAAAAAAAAACAGTTTAATAAAACTGATTTGTTTAAAGGGTCATGAAACCCCTCTCTTTCGGTTTAAGTCTACCTCAGAAAATGCTCAAAAAATGCTTCGAGATGGGCGTGGAGCTCTGCGGGCAGAGGGTGGAGTGGGCGTGGCCGGCAGAGGGTTGTTGCTAGATTGGATATGGTTGCGGTTGAAGTTCATTCATTCATTCATTCATTTTCTTGTCGGTTTAGTCCCTTTATTAATCTGGGGTCGCCACAGCGGAATGAACCACCAACTTATCCAGCAAGTTTTTACACAGCGGATGCCCTTCCAGCCGCAACCCATCTCTGGGAAACATCCACACATATACAAACACACACACTCAAACACTATGGACAATTTAGCCTACCCAATTCACCTGTACCACATGTCTTTGGACTGTGGGGGAAACCGGAGTACCCGGAGGAAACCCACGCGAACGCAGGGAGAACATGCAAACTCCCGGTTGAAGTTAACAAGAAATATTTACATTATTTAATAAATTTCCCATTTGTTGTATTTTATTAACATCTACCCCAACCCTAAACCCAGGCGTTACAGTAACGTATCTTAAATGCTGCTTAACACACACACACATCTGTTAAAAGACTCCTGACACATGAAAGTGTAAGTCTGCAGCAAACAACAAAGTTAAAAACTTATTGCGTGCCATATTTAACAAACTATTTCCTTTGATTTTTATGTAATTTAGCTCACATGGATAATTGAACATTAATCAGATGATGTCATTACGCTGCTGTGCTGTCAGCCAATCATTGCATTGCTGATCATGATTTTGAGGATTGATTGATCAGTCGTTCCCAACACACACATCGATCTCAGATCAGTTCATCCTGACATTTTAATCTGATTCGCGAACTTGTTTGACGAACCAAATTAGCCAAAGATCAGTTATTAAGATTAAAAGATCCAAGATCTGCCAAATCATCTTAGATCATTTAAGCGAGGTATGAAGAGCGTACCCCAGCTCTCAGAACACAGTAAACATAGTAAATGTCATTATCCGCACACACTTTATAATCTGCTGTTTTACTCCACAGAACTCCATATAAAGACCAGAAACATGTTTGCACAGGCCTATGATGATCAACAGTAACAATAACAATGCCACACATTATTTTTATTACAGTAACATTGTACCACACATTGTAACACATTGAACAGGGAAAACCACCAACAATGAAGAATGCATGATTACATGCTGTCATGGGTGTGCAGTCAAAAAATGTGATTATAATGGAAGTCAATGGGACAAAAACAGCCACCAACATAATGAAAGGGTAGTCAATTAGAACAGTACACAACACAGAAAGAGCATATATTTCTGTGCAAATATTTATGTTTGTACACCATAATTATCATGTTGGGGGAAAATATAAATGTTTTAAAAATATTAATAGTTAATTAAATATTAATTCAATGTAATAAATAATAAAATCAAAAGAGACATAAAATATGTTAAATTCTCAAAATAAGTACTCCAGGGTGTCCTGAACCTTTAAATGCACCAAAAATTATGGATAGAAATATTTATTTTTTAAAAGGGAGTGTACATATTTATGCTGAAATCATCTGTTTTTATCATTCTTAGTTAATAAAACTTGTTCTGAAAATACAAATAACAAATAAATAAACAAAAATGGCAAGTGACAGCATTTTTGTATTTAAAAAAAATGCAAATTATTTTTTCTGAATAATAATAAAAACAAAAAAATACCATATTATACACACACACACAAAACTATAGTTCTTATAATCATAATAGATGCTTAAACATTGACAGCCGAACATGCATTATGTGCATTTCCTGAAGCTGCAGAAAAAAATGTAACGTTTAGGGTAATCAAAATAAAGGAGATCAAATTATTACTAAATGTTAGGAAAATGAAGGGCGGCGCTGTGGGTAGCGCTCTCACCACACAGCAAGAAGGTCACTGGCAGGGCCAGCCTCTGCAGGGTCAATTGGCATTTCTGTGTGGAGTTTGCATGTTCTCCCCATGTTGGCGTGGGTAAAATAGTCTCCACATACTGTCTACTATACAAAAAAATGAAGCCAAACATCTTGGACATGACCATAGCCATCTTCTGTTGATGATGTCAGGTGGAGCCAGAACTGACTTCAGGTCAAGCACTGGAGCCGCATCCAATTGTTTACCCAGAGAAACCACTACTCACATCTTGTTTTGTGTTTATAGATTTACTTAATTTTATTTAGATTTTTAACAGATTACATGTAGTATATTTTAATTCCTATTTATTTTGAAACCTGTAACTATAGACTTCGATAGTAGGAACAACAAACACCATGCAGGCCAGTGGTTACAGGTTTCCAGCATCTTTCCAAATGTCTTTTGAAGAAACTCATAAGGTTTGGAACAACTTGAGGGTGAATGAATGTACAGATGTTTGTCGGGACGTATGTAGTGTATGTATGTGTGTGAATGCAAGAATATATGGGTGTTTCCCAGTGTTGGGTTGCAGCTAGAAGGGTATCTGCTGCGTAAAACATATGCTGGATAAGTTGGCGGTTCATTCCACTGTGGCGACCCCAGATTAATAAAGGGACTCAGCCGAAAAGAGAATGAACGAATGAATGTAAGGAAAATGGTTTAAATGCCATGTCGGTGCTTTTCACCTCATGTTGAAAAAAATATTAATATTGATAATAATCGGGAATATTAATCAGATTGTGTTTTTATTTTTGCAGGCAGCAACGGACCGCAAAAGTTTTGCATTGAAAAAGTGGGAAAAGAAAACTGGCTGCCGAGGAGCCACACATGGTAAGATCAGAAATCCTAATATTCATCGTTTTTTATGATGCATTATCAAATGCTGTTCATCAGTAGACATAACTGAGCAGCAATTCACTCATTTCTGCAAAACTCCCAGACTAAATATGTGGCAGTCAGAAGTTTAGTGGATGCAAACCGTGATTCTTTGTACAGACAAAATGATTCGCCCTCCTTTGGAATTATTATAATATTTTTTTATATTTCGTAAGTTCTGATTAACTGAGAGATTGATTTCTACACATTTTTAATAATGATGGAAAATGAATGAATACTGTGAGAGGTTCTTGCTCTGTTAAAAAGAAATGCCAGCAGCTGGCTCTCTGCAACTCTCACATGGTCGCCCACTGAAGCTGTGCAGGGCTGCGCCCGGTCAGTACATGGATGGGAGACCACATGGGAAAGGGATAAAGCCTAGTTCACACCACAGGATTTTAAGCCTGATTTTAGCCCGATTAACGAGCTCGCTGCTGGATCGGGCTGTGATCGCGAAGAAATCTGCGGGTGCTCGGCGCTCGCCGCTCTTTATGTGTGAACTACTGAACAACACATCAACGAGGCTTGCTGACGCGTCGCCGACACCTCGCAGACGGAAATCCAATATTCAGCATGCTAAATATTCCAGAGCAGTCAGGCGACTCAACCCCACGTGTGGTCAGATGTAGTGACGAGCTGCAGCCAATGAGAGAGCAGATCAGCATGAGCTGAATGCCTGTGTGTTAAGGAGCTCAGCAGAAACATCTGTGATTGGTCAGAATGGGCATCGATGCACTCGCTTCATTCTGCGTTAGTACAGACATGAGAGGAGGATATATTAACAGTGGAGCTAGAATTGTGTAATTATTAGAATTACCATACTGCTCATTCTGACCGTTCTCATATAAAACGCCATATAGCACAACATATTTACATTCAAAGCTTCTATTGAGATAATAAAATTAAGCTTTGAATGTCTGGCATCACATTTAATGACACCATTACCCTAAAAATATAATCTTTTTTGGTAATACAGCCTATAAATATGTAGTTAAGCTACTGGAACACGCAAAGGCTTGGCTTTCATTTCCACTTTCAAACAGGAGCTATTTCACAGCACAGAATATGCAGTTTTGAAAGATATCTGAAGTAAATTGATGTTTTTGCCATCAGAAAGTTTTGTTTATGTTAGCAGGAAGTTGCTAGGCAAGAAAATGCACACATATTTAAAGTCACATTAAAAAGTATCAGACATGCATGCAGTCATTTTGACCAATATGGTAATTTAAGGCAGAAATGCTCAGTTCTTTACTGTTTTGTAATTAAAAAAATAACAATGTCAGAAAGAAATACACTGATAGTTAGAAAACGGCAGGGTGTTATTTGTTAGTTTATTTCAAAGAGTTATAAAATTACAAAAATTAAAAACTCTCTGTGTATCTATCCACTCGAACATGCAGATGAGTGATTGATCCGCTGATGAATCCGCTGATTTGATGATGTTTTTAAATGCTTCTGCCAATGATTGAAACGCTGTCAGAGGTGTAATCAGCACACAAGCAGCCAATAGTGTTCAGCTTTTTCTGATGACTCCTCCCTCATAATTTCATTGGCTGTGGTTTGGTAGCTTGAATGAGCTGTTGGGGAATGAGTTGTTGTCATGTAGTGTGTGACCCCCCTCTTGTGGATCGTTCACGGAGTGTTGCGTAGTGTGAACACCACAGAGATTAAAACACACAAAGTCAGGTCATGTAGTGTGAACGGCACAGTGATCTGCTGATGTTTAAAATCCTGTAGTGTGAACTAGGCTTAAGGAGATTTCTCCCCCCTTGTGTACAGCGCTGTTAGTGTCTAGAAGAGTGCCTTATAAATGTCAGGAATTATTATTAATCAATCATTTTGTCTCTGTATATATATATATATTTTTTTTTTGACTCCACCAGCTTTAACCGTCTAGACCTGCCGCCCTATAAAAGCTATGAACAGTTAAAGGAGAAGCTGCTCTTCGCCATCGAGGAAACAGAAGGTTTCGGTCAGGAGTAAAGCATGAAAACATCAGCTCATAATCACCATCATATCAGAAGCTGCTACCGAGAGATCAGCAGTGTTTTCCTGGACGCTCTCCTCATCTCTCAGCTTTCTGTTTCTCTGATTTTCTCGCCATTCTGATTTTATACTGCCTTAGTTAAAGATCTGCGATGAAACAAACACTTCAGCTCGCTCTATGCACAAAACCTGCGTCTCAACATGCAACAAACTCTCTCCTTTCGCTTTTTTTCTTGAGCTTTGAGTTTGCATGTCATTTTTAGACACAGAGAGGTAGGATGCGTTGCACTTTATTAGTAAAACACACACACACACACACACACACACACACACACACACACAGGCGTAATATGCAACAGGTCAAACTTCAGCTCACAATCCAAAGAAGTTGCTGATGTAATTACTGATTGCATGGTGAAAAATGAAGCCTGTTTTACATTTTACATTAAAACTTGACATTATAATGCTATAAATGCTGAGTTTTTGTCTTGTTTCTTGTTTAAATGTTGAAAAAGTCTTAAATTAAGAGGCTTTTTCTTGACAAATAAACATGATTGTGATGTTTTTAGAAATAATATGTAAAAATTAAGTAAGTTTTTCTTTAAAACAAGCTTAATAATCTGCCAATGAGTTGAGTAAAATAATCTAAATGCAAAACATTAATTTGCTTTCACCTATGGCAGATTATTTAGCTTGTTTTAAGGAAAATCCCTCTTTATTTTAACATATTACTCCTGAAAACAACACTAGTTGTCTTGAAAATGCTCCTTTATCGCAGTATTTTTAGATATTTGAGCTAGAAACAAGTCAAAATAAGTAAGAAAGCATTTTTGCAGTGTCCCGAAATGCAATAAAATTCCATTCTCAATTCATTATTGTTTAAAAAAAACACAATTGCAAAAAAATAGGCTTCATGTTTAATGGTTTTTTAATGTGAAATAAACTTATTTTGATTTTCACCATGAGCTGTGACCTGGAAATGCCTACAGAGATGACATGTACGTACTGTATGTGGTTGAATTCACAACAATAGCAATATATTTCGAATAAAAAAAAAGACCAAAAATGCAATTTAATGTCATCAACACAATCCACTGTTAGAATATTGCCATTCCTGACAGTCATAAACTCACAAACCACTTGACTAAATGAACAATCTTAGCTGTTTTAGTGTTCACAAATCTGCAGCTAGCACTCTTTTTATACCTTTAAAAAACACACTAGTTTATTGGTCACACTTTACAATACACTACCTGATAAAAGTCTTATCGCCAAGTTTTAGGAATAACAAATAATAACCTCTAGTTGATCATTTGGTATCAGAAATGGCTTATAGAAAAGGCAAAAGCCTCTAGATGACGCTTATTTGAGCACAATAAAATATGATCATGTCCAGTATAGAATATAAAGTCCTGCTGCAGTGGAGACAGAGTGAATTTTGTGTCTGACTCCATCATGAGCTTGGAGGACTGCATCCATACATCTCTGACATGACTCAAATCACTGATTAATAAAGTCATCTGGAATGAAGAAGAAAACCTTCCTGCAGGACTCCCAGAGTTCATCAAGAGTCTTTGGATTCATCTTCAACACCTCCTCCATTTTACCCCAGACATGCTCAATAATGTTCATGTCTGGTGACTGGGCTGGCCAATCCTGGAGCAGCTTGACCTTCTTTGCTTTCAGGAGCTTTGATGTGGAGGCTGAAGTATGAGAAGGAGCGCTATCCTGCTGGAGAATTGTCCATCTCCTGTGGTTTGTAATGTAATGGGCAGCACAGATGTCTTGATACCTCAGGCTGTTGATGTTGCCATCCTCTTGCACTCCCCCATACTGAATGTAACCCCAAACCATGATTTCTCCTTCACCAAACTTGACTGATTTGTGTGAGAATCTTGGTCCATGCTGGTTCCAGTAGGTCTTCTCCAGTATTGGTGATGTTTGGGTTGCAGCTCAACAGACGATTGATCTGAATAATCCACCGTCTGACACTTTTCCAAATGATCAGCTAGAAGTCAAAATATTTTTTGCAGCTCTTACAACTGGGATCAACGACAAGACTTTAGTCAGGTAGTGTAGGCTTTTATTATTTAATGTATTTATTAACATGAACCAATAATATTTGTTCAGCATTTATTAATCATAGTTCATCATTAAATATTGCATTATTAAAATAAAATGTAAAAAAATAAATAAATGCATGAATTTACTTTAATTAACTATCATTATCAAAGAGGAATAAACACTAATAAATGTATTGTTCATGTTAGCAAATACATTAAATAATATTAAGTAATATTGTAAAGTGTTACCACATTCATTAATGCAAAAAATAAATAAATAAAATGTTCTTTAATTAAAAAACAACGATAATAAAAATAAAAAAATTGAACATTTAACATTAATAATTTAAAAAAATAAATCAAATGTGTGTTTGTGTTTGTAGAGATGTTGCAGAATTTATACTGAAGATTTAGGCCTGACGTCATGGATATTCAGTGCATTTCAGTGGTCTGTTTCTTATTCAGATGCAAAAAATACAAAATCCAGGACTGTAAATACTAATATACTGTTAAAAAAAAGGATTTGAGCAAGCTGAATGAGACATTTTCCTTATATTTGCAATTTAGAAAATGATTTTGATTCATTTACAGCAGGAGTGTCAGTCCTGAAGGGCCGGTGTCCTGGAGAGTTTAGCTCCAACCCTCATCAAACACACCTGATGCAACTAATCAAGCTCTTACCAGTTAAACGTTCATCGACTTTTGCTTTAATATTTAAAGGGCTAGCATTGCACCAGATCCCCTTAAGTGGTTTCGTTTGAAAGTGTAAAATCTATATTTTCTGCACATATGCATCACTTTGTTTTTTATTCTACTGTACAAAAGTTATTTACACTTAAATACAAAGTATTTTGAATATCCAAGCTGGGTATTTTACATTGGTTCATTTTCATATTTTTCATATGACACATGTACAAGTTATAGCTCAAATGAAAGCTCTTGCCGGTGCTCATACGGTTCTTGCATTCTTTTTGCTGAATTATATTCACATATCAAACAGTTGCCGAATGAATCGCGGTGTTTCCATGGCGCAGAAGTGAAAACAATACATTTATGATCAATAAGCAGCCCCAGATAGCACAGACAGCTGTCATCTCTTACCTTATGCTGTGCGCTTCAGGGCCATTCTCCTCTGTTTTTGAGCTGATGTGCATAAGTAATCCTTTTATATGTCTGATGTGCTCCAAACACAGTGAATTATGTTTGATCAAACAAAAGAATAGTGAAATATGAAAACAATGATCGCTCCCTGTGGCTTGTACAGCACCTCTCATCAGTTGGAACACAATAACTTTTGCATAGATTATGGTGGAGACATTTTTCTTTTTTCCTATGATTACAGACATGTGCAGGAACCACCAACATTACTTACAGCACGCTAGACCACACACAACCTAAAAGGTACACTTTCAAATTTGAGTTTATGAAAAAAAAAATACAAAAAGCGCCTCTTTTTTTAAATTTTTTATTATAGCACAGACAATATATAATGTTATTTTAAACACTTTTAATAGTGTTTAATGAAAATTAAAAGGGTTTTCTTTAAAATGATACCAGATTTTTGCATTTACACCTCTGCATGTGGATTTGGGAAGCTTTTAAATTTGGATAGGCAAAATCCAGGTGGAAATCTCAAAATAGCAGCAGAGTTTAACTGGTTATATATATATATATATATACGCGATACCTTCAGGCAGGTGTGTTGAAGCAAGTTGGAGCTATAAACTCAGCAGGACACCGGCCCTCCAGGACAGAGTTTGGACACCTCTGGTTTACAGGTTTTTATGCTGGAATTGAATCCATCAGGCTCTGCTTTATTCTCTTCTGTCTCGCTCCAGGGCACTTTATTTTCTAAATATCAGATGTTTTGCATTAAAATAAATGTAAAAAAATAAATGCTGATGGATACAGTCCATCTGAACGACGCACATCTGATGTTTAGTGTCGTTGTTGTGGTGTCTTACAGCGTTTTGTAGCTCTTAAAAGGCCAGACGTGTGGCTTCTTTATTTTCTTAACACTGTAAATCATGTTTGCCTGTGATCTACAACACATTAACGTTGATTTCATGATTTGGATTATATTTATTTTTCTTAAGTGAATGTGTACAGTTGAATGATTAATATAAGAGTACTGTTTTATTCTCAGCTGATGAAATAAAAAATAAGAAGTGCAATATAAATGTGTTGCTTCTTTTATTCTTGCTATGCTGTTGTCATTTGTTTATTTATTACACGACCTGAATTAAATATCCATTCAATTGGCTTTATTTTGGGGAAATGAGTTAGTAAAAAGCAGCAGATGTTATATTGAATTTTAAGATTTGTTTAGCTGTTATTCATATGCATTAATTGAAAGATAATAATTAATATATAATCATTCACACTAATGTAAAGTAACACATTACAAATACTCAAATTACTGTAATTGAGTAGTTTTTCTCAGGAATTGTAATTTACTAAGTCGTTTTATAAATGTGTACTTTTACTTTTACTTACTTTTTACTTTACTTGCATTTTTAGTGCTGCATTGGTACTTTTACTCCACTGCTTTCCTTCAACCTGCAGTCACTACTTTATTTATTCTTGTCTATCGGGATTGGCTAAAGTAGAAAAATCAGTCATGTGATTTCTGTCCAGTCAATTCACACAGAGAAAGTAAATTGCATCATACTGAACAAGCTCAAGATATTGGCACTTTATAAATGCAGTCAAATTTTGGATGCATTAAAAATGTCCAAGAGATGTCTAAAGTCTTTACACGCAATAACCCAGAGACTGTTTATAGACTGCATGTCACGGATTAGATAATGAAGGATGTCGACAGTATGATGACTGAAATCACCAAACAGCCTTAAACAATTACTAAATGGACCGAATGAAGAAAGGAAGGAAGGGTTTGAATGAAGGACTAAACTAGTGAAGGAAGGACCGAACTAATGAAAGAATGACTGAACGAAGGAAGGAAGGATCAAACTAATGAAGGAAGGACTAAACTAATGAAGGAAGAAAGGACCGAAGGAAGAAAGGACTGAACTAATGATGGAAGAAAGGACCAAAGTAATGAAGGAAGGAAGGACCGAACGAAGGAAGGACTGAACTAATGAAGGAAGGACCAAACTAATAAAGGAAAGACAGAACAAAGGAAGGAAGAACCGAACTAATGTAGGAAGGAAGAAAGGACCAAACTAATGAAGGAAGGACTAAACTAATGAAGGAAGAAAGGACCGAAGGAAGAAAGGACTGAACTAATGATGGAAGAAAGGACCAAAGTAATGAAGGAAGGAAGGACCGAACGAAGGAAGGACTGAACTAATGAAGGAAGGACAGAACAAAGGAAGGAAGAACCTAACTAATGTAGGAAGGAAGAAAGGACCAAACTAATGAAGGAAGGACCAAACTAATGAAGGAAGGACTAAACTAATGAAGGAAGAAAGGACCGAAGGAAGAAAGGACTGAACTAATGATGGAAGAAAGGACCAAAGTAATGAAGGAAGGAAGGACCGAACGAAGGAAGGACTGAACTAATGAAGGAAGGACCAAACTAATAAAGGAAGGACAGAACAAAGGAAGGAAGAACCGAACTAATGTAGGAAGGAAGAAAGGACCAAACTAATGAAGGAAGGAAGGACCAAACAAAGGATGGAAGGACCGAACTCATGAAGGAAGGAAGGACCAAATAAAGGACGGAAGGACCGAACTAATGAAGGAAAGAAATTTCAAGCTAAAGAAGGAAGGAAGGACAGAACGAAGGACGGAAGGACCAAACTAATGAAGGAAGGAAGGACCAAACTAATGAAGGAAGGAAGGATAAAACTAGTACAGGAAGGAAGGACCAAACTAATAAAGGAAGGAAGGACCAAACTAATGAAGGAAAGATTAAAGAAAGGACTGCACAAACTAAGAAAGGAAGGAACGAACAAATGAAGGAAGGAACGAATGAACGAACGGCGAGAGGGCTAATGAATGAAGGATTCAAGGAAGGACTAAACAAACTAAGGAAAGAAGGAAGAAAAGAACGAACAAACAATAAAAAGAAAGTTGAAAGGAATGAACGAATATAGGAAGATCACTAAATGCACTACAGAATGTTTTGTTTACACATCCCTGCACAAACTACATGTAAATGCATCAACTTTTTACAGCGTAATACTCACTACTCTTGAGTACTTTAGAAAGGTCTTCATTTTACTCATACTTTGAGATATATTTACAACAGATACTTTTACTCTACTTGCACTACATTTTTGCAAGTAATTGTGCTTTTACTCGAGTATTTATCAGCACTCTTTCCACCACTGATAATTTATTTAATTAATATGGGTCAAAGACAAGACGACCCATTTTTGGTGTTTAGGTCAAATTAGGTGAATTAACCATAATACATTTTGAGGCCATAATACATTATTTATGGTTTGAAATAGATTTGTAAATGACTAATAAAAATTTGTCTGAGTAATTTTCATCATATCTTCATTCTTAACAGTGAATTATTTGCATTAATTTCCAATAAAATAAATATAGTGTGAATATTCATTCTACTGGGAACTCTTGCAAAGCTATTATTACGGGGAAAAATAAATAAATAAATATATATATATATATATATATATATATATATATATATATATATATATATATATATATATATATATATATATATATATATATATATATATAATTTATTATTCTTTTATTTTATTAATGTTGTGCCTTCATTCAAAGAATAATTTTGTTTTCTTACTACTGTTGCGAACAGAGAAGGTCGAAGCAGGGTCGAAGGCAAACGTTGGATTGTGTTTCCGGTCGGACTCTTTTCGTGTCGCACTCTTTTCCGCTTTGCCTCCATTAAAGGACTCAGCGGTGGTTCGCGGGTCAATTTTTAAAACTTGTTTGGCAGAATCCGATATTAATCGGAGTCATCCGAACAGCAAACATGGTAAGACTGCACTTATAGTCTCATTACAGTATAACGAGATGATCATGTTTATATTTCTGAGGGCCAGTAATGATTTTAGGCTAAAAACTGTCTGCGTTTTCAATACGTTGTAAGTGCGTAGAGACAAAACAAGCGGGAGATGTTGTAAATGTGAAACAGACGAGAACGTTACATTCAGGCTATTAAGATGCTTTAGGAAATGTAGATTACTTATTAAATGTGTGTATAAACTAATAAATGCAGAAATTATTTAAATCTAGAGAATGAATGAATGAGTGCGTGCTAATGGTGCTAATCGTCGATTGTTTGTTGTCAGTCTAACGTTTCATTAAATAATTTAATCTTTTATTTATAATATACGTTTTAGGGCAGTGTAAATTATATATATTTTTTTCTGTCGCAGTTTTTGTGTAACGTTATAGCAGTGTACTGTTTGCCTTTGCTAAACGAAACAGTTTGGTTGTGCAGCGCTAACAGGAAGACTTTTATTTTGTAATTAAAAGCATTTTTACAGATATGAACGCTTTAGCCGTTCAGACTCAATTCGTTTTCTAGTAATTTACGATTGTTGATGAGGTTAGAAATGATACAGCTGCGTCCTGAAGTTAACATGAATTGTTTTATTTATTTATTAACTTGCACAAAAAAATTATTTTATTAAAGTCTACACTAAACCATCACAGTAATGTAAAATTGTAATTATGCTGCCTATTGTTTATATCATTTATTAAACTACCCATTAAGTTATATTTTATTAATGTCTACCTTAACCCCAACTCTCACAGTAATGTGAAAATATTCATTATTAATGTTGTACAGTTGTCTTATCTAGACTTAGATTTTCCTCCAGAATAGTGCTAAAGTCAATTGTTGTATGGTTTATTTAATTGCAGTAGTCTATAATCGGTATTGACTTATATTGTATGTTTAATATCTTCATTGATCACTCTCTCCTCTGTTGCAGACGGTCGGCAAGAGTAGTAAGATGCTGCAGCACATCGACTATCGCATGCGCTGTATCCTGCAGGACGGACGCATCTTCATCGGCACATTCAAAGCCTTCGACAAACACATGAACCTGATCCTGTGTGACTGCGACGAGTTCAGGAAGATCAAGTATGTCTTCACTATTAAAGCAACACACTGAAATAAAGTATTTTATTTACATTCACTCTTGTGGTTTCAAAGCTTGAAGTTTATTATTATTATTATTTTGTACATGTGGAAAAGTGTTTTCAAGCATCTTAATCCAGTCCAGTCACACCATTCTTCAGAAATCATAGTATGATCTGCTGTAATTTAAAAGTTGGAAACTTTATTTTATTATTATTATTATTATTTAAGGTTTGCTTGAAAAATAAAACAAATAAAGTTAATAAATTATTATTTTTTATTTTTATTGTCTTTTTATTTCTGGGGGAATTTAATTTAGAAGGTTTCTGTGTGGAGCAGACCAACGTTTGCAACACTCGATAATTAATCGATTAATAATAAAAAAATAATAATAGGGGAGGTTTTAGTGGCAGGTCATCATATTAGAATGATTCTAAAGACCATTGCAATGCTGAACATTCAGGTTTAACTTAAAGCAATAAATAAAGCTCAATACATTAAATTATTTTTATTGTTATTTCCATCTTCCTGTATTTTGGAAATAATAAAACCTTTAGAAATATACAAATGTGTATGAATAAATGTTTCCTTGGAGTGCAGAAAAGTTTATTTATATATATATATATATATATATATATATATATATATATATATATATATATATATATATATATATATATATATATATAAACTTTTATAAAATATATATTATTTATTATTATTATAAAATATAAAAATATTTTAGAAAAAATATATATATTTTTTTATATATTTTATAAAATAATAATAAAAATATATATATATTTTTATTTATTTTATAAAATATAAAAATATTTTATATAAAAAATATATATATATATATATATATATATATTATTTATTATTATTATTATTATTATTATAAAATATTTTAGGAAAAAAATATATATATTTTTTATATATTTTATAAAATAAAATAATAAAAAAAAAATATATATATATATATATATATATATATATATATATATATATATTTTTTTTTTTTTAATTTTATAAAATATAAAAATATTTTATATATTATATATTTTATATATTATAATAAAAATATATATATATTATTCTTACTAATGTAAAATCATTTATCCTAAATATTCATCAAAGTTTGTTTTTCACAGACCCAAGAACTCTAAGCAGCCGGAGCGTGAGGAGAAGAGGGTTTTAGGTCTGGTTCTGCTCAGAGGAGAGAATCTGGTGTCCATGACTGTAGAAGGACCTCCTCCTAAAGACGTGAGTGCTCAGAGTCTGTCCTGTGGTTTTTCCTTCATCTAAATGTAGAGAGCATGACATTGTTTGACTGTGTCCCGTTACAGACTGGCATTGCCCGTGTGCCGCTGGCAGGAGTGGCTGGAGGTCCAGGAGTGGGCAGAGCTGCGGGTCGAGGTGTTCCCGCTGGAGCTCCAATGGCTCAGGCTCCCGCTGGACTCGCCGGGCCTGTCAGAGGAGTCGGCGGACCCTCACAGCAGGTACCAGCAAAACAAGATTTATATTAATAGAATTGTACATTTATTTTTTTGGCCTCAAGTCTTACCAGGATTCTTTTATTTAATTCCGTTCAATTCACCTTTTATTTATAAAGTGCTTTTACAATGTAGATTCTGTCAAAGAAACTTCTAGATGAAGGTCTAGTAAATTGAAACCGCTTCAGTTCAGTTTTCTCTGTGGAAGTTCAGTTCACTGTATTATAAATGTCACTGCTGAAAGCCAAAACACTGACAAACAAATTATAGTATTTGGTAATTTATCTACTTATCTAATTATTTTTCAATTATTTTTTTTATTATATATATATATATATATATATATATATATATATATATATATATATATATATATATATATATATATATATATTCCTTTTTTATACTAAAAACAGAATTTATTTTTATTTTTTGTGGTAAATATTTTTGTTTAATCTGTAGTCTTTTTCATGTGTAAAAAAGATCCTGTAATTTGAAACACATGCTTTACTCATTAATAAATTATATAAAGGATTAATGCATGGAATTAGCTTAAATGTTTTTAATTTACTTAATACAAATGACTCATTACATTTAATTTTATCTAATTTATCTTCTTGCAGTTAAGCATGTTCAATATTAGTAGTTCATTATCACGTTATTGCATGTATGCTTTCCTTCTCTTTTATATGCTTATTTAAAATGCTGATCATCATCAGTTGATTAATGTAAGGCATTTAACACGCGTCACAGGTGGTTAAGGATGTACATTTGAAATGACTAAATTGAGATAAAAATGCTTTTATAAATGCTCATTATACTGAAATGGCGTTTAAAAATTGAGCTTTATTTCTGCCATATTGCTTTATTCCTCTGTTTACATACAAATGCATATTGTATCTTGTATGTTTCTTTTTAATTTAGGCCTGTTATTGATAAATGGCACATGGCTATGTTGCATTTGTTTAAACGCAATACACACACACACCAGCCAGTTAATTTTAACTGCATTCTAAATGAGCATCTTGCAGTACGATTGTTATTTATTTTATTTTTTACTTTCAAGATGTTTTAATTTTGTGAAGTAAACACTGTGGCTTTTTATTCTGATTTCATCTGTTAATCTGCTATTAGACTGTCTACATTTGTAAAAGCGCTATAGGAATTAAGATGACTTGACCTACTTGGCTCAGCCTTTGATAAAACATTATTTGGATTAAGTTTTCTTTTTTGCTGTACCTTGGGTCATTTGAATGTGAACCGTGTTGTCATTCTGTAACCCAGAGTGTGTGTTTGTCCCTGTCAGGTCATGACTCCTCAGGGTCGGGGTACGGTTGCTGCTGCCGCTGCGGGTGCCAGTATCGCTGGAGCCCCCACACAGTATCCTCCTGGCAGAGGCGGACCACCGCCACCCATGGGTAGAGGAGCGCCACCTCCAGGTAAGAGTCTTTCTGCAAAGCTTCGTTAACATTAGCTGTGTTTCCATCCAAAGATGCAAATTAGATTTGTGTGCAAACTGGAATAATGTATATACAATAAAGAATCGTTGCCATCCAATGAGTCAGGGAGAACGAAATCAACACTTTCTGAGAAACTGGCACCAAGCATCAGACAGAAATGTAGTTTAGTGCAGTGTGAGAAGCTACTGTGGGACTTTTCTTGAATAAATTTTCTTTTTCATTGTTTTTTTAAGGCATTTAATTTGTTTTTAATCATTTTTATTATTTATGTATTTTCTTATACTTGTCTCTTTTGTTCCCATTTATGTAAAGCACTTTGAATTGCCACTGTGTATGAAATTCCCTATGTAAATAAACCTGCCTTGCCTAGATGCAGTGGCTTTTGGAGGCAACATAATACTAATACGGAACCACTGTGATGATGAACTGAGGCATTTTACAATGAGCAAAACATTTTAGATGTTCTACAATGTGCTCAATGCTGTTTTGTCCGTTATTGCATCCCGTTACGCATAAGGGTGTCAATCGAAATCAATCAATCTATGCTCAATTTCGATTATCAAATCAAAAAAATGCAATCGTCGATGCTGCCACGCCCCATGTCACGTCAGCTTGGCTTGCCAAGCAGAAAAAAAACGCAGGAGACCCGTCGACAGAGCTTAAACCCTCTCCTCTTTCAATGAAGTCGCTGGTGTGGAAGAATTTTGGATTTCCAGTGAGACAATGTCCATGTTGTCAACAAAAAAAACAGTTTGCAAGCTCTAAGTACGTATTAGGGTTGAGCCAATAGACGATGTCGGTGTTACACCATGCATCGCGATCCTCCGCCCTGCCCCCGTTGCAAATCCCCTCGCGAAAAATACACACTCAGGCCCTGTTTACACTAATGTCTTAGTTTTTAAATGGCCTTTTAGAACGACAACGATCCACAGCCACGCTGGCGTTTTGCATTTCTGAGCACAGTGAGCAGCCCTCCTTCCTCATTACTGCTGAAACCGCACCTCACGTGAGCACACAGAGACACAGACACGCACACACTATCGTGTGCTCGAGACAGTGGGTCCAGGCAGTCAGGGGGTCAGTAGACTGCTTCAATCTTTCACACTTGTACTTGGTCATTTTAGCGAACACCTCAGATACTGTTAGCTGGTTTCTGTTGGTTGTACAGCTTTTTTACCGACACCATTATAACGACACAGATCACTGCCTATTCACGAGTCCCGCAGAAAAAAGTGATTGACAGGTGGTAATTATGTGTGTAACTTATCTTTATTCATTTATGATTTGTTAATGGGTAAAACAAAGACCATGCCGGTCACATAGTTTAAATGGTAGGCTACAAATAATGAATTCGTTATTAATTAATTAATCATTCATAATTAATTTACCACCGCAAATCACGATGGCATCGTCGTCATGTTTCATATTAGACATCGTACAGTGCCAAATTCGTCGACATCGCCCAACTCTAGTACGTATACCACATTCCACCGGCAGCATGACTAACATGGCATCTCCTCTTTAGGCATTTAATTAGCGTGCTAGAACCACGCTACAAAATCCCAAGTAGAACGCATCTCACAGCTATGGTGATACCCTCCATGTACAATAATGTGAAGCAGAAAGTTATTGAAGGTCTGAGCAGTGCACATTTAGTAGCCTTGAGATTGCTGGACCTTCAGCGCAACACTGAGCTTCATGACTGTCACGGCACACAAAGGTCAACATTATTATATTGCATAAGTCTTAAAATGGCGTAGCTTGTGCTTTCAAATTTTTCTTTTTTAAATCGAAAATCGAATCAAACCGTGACTTAAGAATCGAAAATGTTATCGAATCGAGGATTTGGAGGATCGTGACACCCTTAATTACGCACATGATCTAATAACTAATTTGTATGACTTTTCTTTTTTTTCCCTCTTTCTTTCTCTCAATGTTTTTATTTTATTGACATCTTGGATGCACATTTCCATTTATTTTTATTATTATTATACAATTTTTATTCCAAACTGCACATAAATCTAGTCGGATGGAAACGTGGTTATGGTGTGTCCGATAGCTGTGCTGATTCGGCAGCCGTGATGACAGCAGCATTTTCTGAAGCAGATGACGAGTCCGCTTGTGTGGTAGCAGGATTACACTGAGCTCAGAATCACATGGCTGGATCACAAACACTCATGCTGGTGCATGATGGGTAATGTTGACCCTCTGGTCTGCTCATCCCGCAGGTATGATGGGTCCTCCTCCGGGCATGAGGCCACCAATGGGACCTCCAATGGGGATGCCACCTGGCCGCGGGGCACCAATGGGAATGCCTCCTCCTGGCATGAGGCCACCACCGCCTGGAATGAGAGGTAAAGCTGGTTAACTGGGTTGAAATGAAGGTTAAGATGCATTTATATATTATGTATTTATATAGTTTTTTTTACTAGTAGTGTTTTTGAATGATTGCGTAATCATGATGACAGTGATTATTCCCCAGACTGTAAACGTACAACCAAAATATATAATCATTGCATCCCTACTGAAGAATGCTGAAAACCTGTAATCATTTTTATATGGCATCATCATTTGTGATCAGTAGAAGACGAACAAGTTTGGGCGAGTAAATGATGGCCATTTAGTTTTCTGAACAATCCTTTTGAGCCCTAAAGAAATGTGACTTAACTTGCATATGTTATAACAGGTTTAAATGTTATTTATGTTTTGTCTCCTCCAGGTCCTCCTCCACCAGGCTTGCGTCCTCCTCCCAGACCTTAAACCTCCACCCTGGACAAAGATGTACGTCTTTTCCGTGTATAGGAGACTCTGGCTGCAAGTTCTTGTATAGATTGTTGGTTTTTGTATTTTGTCAATTATTTCCCTTTTTTTTAATAAAGTGTCAAATTGACATTCTTGTTTTAATCAGACTCTTGCTTTTTCTTCCAGTTTACTCTGCTGTGCATTTTACTTTCGCAACCAAACATTGATTGTTTGAATCAAACTTGCTTACAATTCTCAATGGATGAACATGTGCTGTGTTAAACATTTGCAATCTGGCACATCAGTGCAATGCATGTTGTTTAAAGACTTTTATCGATTTATTTTTAGCTTTTTGATTAAGCTGGTTTGAATGTATAAGGTACATTTTATAACAACTATTTATTTGTCAGACTACTTTACTGTCAAACCATGTTGCATACAAATGCATTCAACAGACTTGTATGACAGTGTATTGCTGTAAAGGACAAATAAAACATGAGACAGGTGTTTAGAATATAGTTTATTTTGTTTGACCTGCAAACTTATTTAAACAAGAAACTTTCAGAAAACAGCACGGAAACATTATAATATGCGCGCTCATGTCATGAATATAACCCGCGGTTGTCTTCAGCAGTCCTTTGCTCCACAGCTCAGCTGAAAAACAAAGCAAAACATTACAACAGCCACACATACACTTAAAAGATTAGTTACCATGGTTTCTATTTTAAACTATAGTAAACTAAAGTTTGAAACTATAGTTTCAAATACACGATGAGTGGGCCTCGCTGCTCCCACCCACCATAACCCTCGCAGCAGTGAGGTCCCACTACCGGCCTCCTGTGTTTCCCCGAGGCTCCTCATGGCTTGTATTGATCCCTGCCTGGGGTTTACAAGCCGCCTCGCCTCAGGAAGGGTCAGTGTTCGCTGGAATGTTGCTCGGCGGCACATTTCGAGCAACAAACACTTAATATTCTTCGCGATATTGCGTTTATGTTCGGTATTGAACTTACCTTGGTCAAGTACAAACAGCAACACGGAGCGAACTGACAACACAGAGAGAACCGACGAGCTTTATAGGAATGCATATGCAAATGTTTACAATGCGACGTCACTGCTGTGTGAGTCTCGTTGTCATGGTGAGCGCTGAGGAGAGCACAGCTGATTGGAGCGCTCAGGCTCGGGAATCTCCCTTCACGGCGAGTTGCGGTCGGCTGAGGACAAAAACATTAAACGTATATTTTTACAGTTTTGGTGCTGTGTAATATTCTGGGATGCAGTAGAATATGGAGACAGTCAGATGAATATAATTAGACACAGATGCGGGGCATTAGAATAGAAAGTGAGCCCGGCTAGGACACACTGCTCTGACTCCTATTGATGGTAAGCTTCCTATTATCCAAGAACGCCATCTAGCGGTCACATAACCTAATAGCATGTTTACTACTAACCACCCCCCACGGTCAAAACGTCCAGCATTTGTCCATTTAATTACTTTATGTAATTTAATATTATATAATATATTTATTATATAATTAATATAATATATTTATGTTTATTTATATTCCTGTCACGTCTGTTTATGAGGCTGTTTGGTCTTTCATTGGTTTTATTCTGATCAGATATCAGATCGCTGATGATCTGGGATGCATTCCAGATGAAACTGGATAGGTCTAATCATTTTTTAGACAAAATTATTATAAACAAAATAAATTATGACTAAGCTGAAAAGAAAATGAATGGATCAATAACTGGCTTTACTTTTCAGGTGGAGCACTGAAGCCAAATAAAAACATGTTTACACACAGAAATCAGTATTCTTTCTTTGTGTTTATGGATTTTAATATCTTTATTTATTTATTTAGACCAGCCTTCTTAGCAAATTACATAGATTAAATATAATTTTCATTATCGTTATACATTTTATGAAACATCCGATTTTACGATTTTCGTCCTCCCCACCTGTAGGCGTCACTAACGCAACTATCAACCACGAGGCGCGTGAGAGTGACGCACTTCTGCTTTTTCAGCGACACACGTGTGTTTACGAACATGCAGCACCGATAGTGTGTCAATGTTTGTGGTTTATTAAACTGTACGATCAGATTTGTTTTTTATACATACACATGTAGGTAAAGATATAGACTCTGCACACTATCAACTGTATCATAACTTTAACCAGCCTGTAAAGTTTGTTAAGGCGCCTCAGCGCAGTCGTTTTCAGACATGGATCTGATCAGAACTATTGATGATGATGAAGAGGTCCCAGAAGAGCCGGATTCAGGATCTGATGATGAAGCTGTGAGTTCAACTACTCTTTACATACTGTCAGAAACTACTTAATAGTGTTTTCTTAGACATGTACCACGGTAAAACTGCGCCTTCTGTCCATAATACTTATGTTTTGTACTTCAATAGTCGATTATCTGCATATATACTGTAGTAATACAGTGCTTTATACATGTGCGTCTTGCTAAAACGATGCTATTTTGTGATATACCAGGGTAATATTGGTGTTTGAGCCTCATGTTATAGTAATACCATGATATTGGGTGAGTGTAATTGTAATGCTATGGTATCTGGATGTATTAATCAACATACTATGGTAATAACAAGTCATTTTAGGGTCAGTTTATGTTGTAAAAAGTGGAATAGCTTCATGTATTATTGAAATATTATATGGTCTTATGATCATACCACTTTCTGATAGCTGTTTGACCCTCATGTTATAGTAATACCATGATATTGGGTGACTATACATACACATACATGGATTTATAAATGCATTAAGAGCAGTTGTTGTGTATTTTGTGTGCGTTTAGGATCAGCCCATCGTGTTGAAGAGTAAAGAGAAGCAGGCTCTGAAGGCCCGCGGCTCAGGACACTTCAATGCAGACTTTGATTTTGGCGAGCGGGATGGCCTGTACAGCGCTGACTGGGCCATGGCGGATGTGATGGCGCAGCTGAAGAAGAGGGTCTGTCAGATTCTCGCACAGCACACACACATTCAACACACTGTTATGTCTATATCAGGTCTAATCTGCGTCATTTTTTTGAAATCTGCTTTTTACAGAAAGCACCCACAACCTTGGATGAGAAGATTGAGAAAGTGCGGAAGAAGCGTAAAGTTGAGGTAAAGAAAAGTGTGGATTTTTATAATATCTGTTTAAAGAGTTGCTTGTGTTTGGAAACTAACTGTAAGTTAATGAAGGATAGGATAAATAGGTTTTATTAAATCTTCAAAAGTCTTTATTTTAAAGCTATAAGAAAAATGACTGAATAAATTTGCTGCTCATTGCATGCCAAAAAAAAAACTGGTGCAAAAATTGTGCTCCAGATCTCTTTCAAAGACTTTTTTTTTTTTTTTTTTACCAAATTAATGTTTTATCTAAAGCAGTGGTTCTCAAACTTTTATCATCAAGTACCACCTTAGAAAAAAATTGTCTCTCCAAGAACCACCAAAATGAGCAGCATTGAAATACAGTAGCGTAGTTGGCCCAGTAAAGCAGCTACAACTCTGCACAGTTAAAAAACCTGGCAGATTACCTCAGAAATATAGGCTATATATAATATATGGCATATTATATACTTCATTTTTAATAAATTTTGAATTATATGTAGCATGTACATGACATTTTTCATTCCTCCATGTACCACTAGAAGGAAGCCCACGTACCACTAGTGGTACACGTACCACAGTTTGAGAACCACTGATCTAAAGCACATCAACAATTATTCTTATGATAGTTGTTAAGTGAACAAGAAAAATAATAATGCATTGGATATTTTATTCAAAAAATAATGACACTTTAAAAGTAGTTCAGCTTTTCAAATTATAAAAAGCCTAATAATAAATTAAAGTCATTTTAATGGATAAAATAAATGTACACATTTTTTCCTCGATTTTGTACATCATCTTATTAGCTTTTGGGAGAAACCTGTGATTTCTGGTCAAATAAAAGCTGGTTTAATAAAAGTAACTATGTCGGAATTTAGGAATAGTATATGAATAGTTTCAGGCTGAACTGTACATACACTCACCAGCCACTTTATTAGGTACACCTGTCTAACTGCTTGTGAAAGCAAATTTCTAATCAGCCAATCACATGGCAGCAACTCAATGCATTTAGGCATGTAGACAAGGTCAAGACGATCTGCTGCTGTTCAAACTGAGCATCAGAATGAGGAAGAAAGCGGATTTAAGTGACTTTGAATGTGGCATGGTTGTTGGCGCCAGATGGACTGCTCTGAGTATTTCAGAAACTGCTGATCTACTGGGATTTTCACGCACAGCCATCTCTAGGGTTCACGGAGAATGGTCTGAATGAGAGGAAATATCCAGTGAGCGGCAGTTCTGTGGGCGCAAATGCCTTGTTGATGTCAGAGGAGAATGGCCAGACTGGTTCCAGCTGATAGAAAGGCAACAGTAACTCAAATAAGCACTCGTTACAACCGAGCTCTGCAGAAGAGCATCTCTGAACACACAACACGTCCAACCTTGAGGCGGATGGGCTACAGCAGCAGAAGAGCACACCGGGTGCCGCTCCTGTCAGCTAAGAACAGGAAACTGAGGCTACAATTCACACAGACTCACCAAAACTGGACAATAGAAGATTGGAGAAACGTTGCCTGCTCTGATGAGTCTCCATTTCTGCTGACACATTCGGATGGTCGGGTCAGAACTTGGCATCAGCAACATGAAAGCATGGATCATCCTGCCTTGTGTCAACGGTTCAGGCTGGTGGTGGTGGTGTAATGGTGTGGGGGAGATTTTCTTGGCACACTTTGGGCACATTAGTAGTAAATGAGCATCAGCGCCACAGCCTACCTGAGTATTGCTGCTGACCATGTCCATCCCTTTATGAGCACAGTGTCTCCATCTTCTGACGGCTTCTTCCAGCAGGATAACACACCATGTCATAAAACGTGAATCATCTCAGACTGGTTTCTTGAACATGACAATGAGTTCACTGCACTCAAATGGCCTCCACAGTCACCAGAGCTCAATCCAATAGAACACCTTTTAGATGTGGTGGAACGGGAGATTGGCATCATGGATGTGCAGCCGACAAATCTGCAGCAACTGTGTGATAATATCGTGTCAATATCGAGCAAAATCTCTGAGGAATATTTCCAGTAGCGTGTTAAATCTATGCCATGAAGGA